AAGAGGAATTCAAATGTCTTAAACTACCAGGACAGAAACGAATAGAAAAAATAATGAAAGTAAGCTTATCAAAGAATGGAGAATATACAAAACGAAAAGAGAGACACCATTAAGAAAAAGCTAAGCAATATGATGATAAAATTAAGAAAACAAGTAACATGATTTTCAGGTTAAAGTGCTGAAAATGTGAACGCCAAAAAGTTATTTTTTGCCTTGCTGTCTCCTCTGACACTCGTGCTAGTCTGAATTGGATTATTTGTTCATTTTTCAAAAAATTAAAAAAAGTCTAGGGTTGCCTACCCAGAATTTATTCTTGTTTTTGTTGTTTAGTTGAAAATGTTAAATAAGCTGTTTTCAAATGTAAAAAAGAAACAGTAGTGCTTAATAGTTTAAAATGTTTAAAAACAGTTTTAAAGACAGTTGGCAAGAAGCACTTCTAAACAAATATTTACTTTCTGCAACAAATTTAAATTTGTTGTGTGTTGGTGCATTCCATAACTATATGTTAATAATTAACTGTGAAATATATTGAAATAATTACATTATTTTTCCATAAACTTGGGCTTTATTTTGTTAGTATTCAGTAGAAAATGTATTTTGATTACAAGGTGACTGTCAATTTTATGTATTGATTTTTTTTAAAGGACAACTGCTTTGCCAGTGGTATAACAGATGATTGCTTGTCATTGTTGCATATCACACTCTTATGTTTATGTGCCTTTGTGATGACTGATGCTGGGCAATGCATTAAGTAAAGAGTTAAGTCTATTGAATCAAAATACCTTTACATTTTTTTCAGGGGTACATTTTTTCAGGGGCATTTGTCACTTTGCTCAACAGCTCTTGTTCATTTAATTGATTGATTATGTTAGATGGATCAGTGTCACATCTGCCTACTTTTTTTTTGTTTCCTTTTTGTTGCGTTTTGTCATTGTATTTCACGGAGCAAGCTGGGAAAGTCTTGTTAAATCTTGCATTAACTTAATTTCAAAACTGTTATATTGACACATTTTTTTTAGATATTATTGTAATAAAAATGCACAAAAGTTTGTTTCTTTATATCATTGATAAAATGAAAGTACATTGCAAATTTTTCCTACATTTATATTTTTTCTCTGCTTTTTTGAAGACAGATATTACCATGACATCAGTGTTAGTTAACCTTTTTAGTTTTTTTGTTTATGGTGCATCATTTTAATATTAATTAACCTATAACAAAATAACTTCATATTTGAGTTTACCTCTAACACCCATTTTCAGGTCAAAAGGTCAATGTCACTAAAAATATTCAATGGGCTGTAAAATAATAATGCATATACCTTGATGAGTTCCGCCTGCCACACCGATTCTCAGGTTAAAGGTCACATGGACCATACATATATGTATGTATGTAGTTATGTAATTGGCCATAAAATGATAGTGCATATATTCAGGGACTTGAATATTAGAATATAGATATATTTCCATGAAAATTAAACTTCATCTATTTATGTCAAAGGACAATGTCACTGGTACCTGATATTTTTTAAAATGTTACAGGCCATATTGAAAGTGCATATAACTAGGGACTACATCTTGATGAGCTCTACCTCTCTGAACCATTTTCAGGTTCAAAGGTAAAGGTCAATTGGACTTGTTTTAAGAAATGCAACTGGTCATAAAATGAACGTGCATTTACCCAGTAACTTCAAACTTCCTACATGGATGAACCTCATTGACTTCTTCCTGCCACTTAAAGTTTCAGGTCAAAGCCTCTTGCAACCTGTAAAATGAAAGTGCATATGACTTGTAACTTCAAACATCATTGTTGAATGTAATTTTATCATTTCAACCTTCTACACCTATTTCAAGTCATTATGCCAGAGGTCAAGTTCACTTGCATCTGGTTTAAAATTGGTGATGAAATGACCAGGAACTCCAAACTTCATGCATGGATGCACATTGATGATTTCTACCTCCTTCAGTCATTTTGTGGTCATAAGGTCAAGGTTAATGTGTAAATCGTGCTTTTTACTAATCCAGATCCATGCTGCTCATTTGACAGCTCTTGTTTAAAAAACAAATTGACTTTTAACTTTTTAAAGTTTGTAGTTTGTTCTCAATGAGAGTCCATGATGCTTAGTATAAATAGAATGTCCTGAAAGAAATTTAACTTTACTGAAGTTGTCTCTGTATTTTTTTTTGCGCTTTGACATACTTGTTTAATATTAGAATTATGTATGTTCATGAAAATTAATCAATATCTTTGATGTGAAAGCATAACTTATGTTGAAAATAAAATATATTTTATCTTGAAATTCTTGTTGAGTTTACATCTCAATTGATTAAGAAGAAAGGAAAATAAAAAAATATATACAGTAGAGCTCCACCATAAAACCACCAGTTTGCATGACCAGTCTGCTATTACGATCAATTTTTCAAAGATTTTTTTTCTTATTAGAGTCTTTCTATCCAAAATTGAGACCAACCTGCTATTGCCTAATACAACTATTTTTTTCCAAACAATAATTTTGTATGTATTTAGACCATACCTGTTAAATTGTTTAACCATGCGTGACAACACTAATTTTCTGTCAACTGCTGTAGTCAGTATTGTACTTAATTATTAACCCTTGTCCTAACAACATCATGAACGAGTTATTGCAGTTGCTAATTGAAAGATATAATAATTGTCAGATATTCTTCATGTTAAGGTTTTCCTTTTTTTTAAATGGTAACAAAAATAACCAATTTGTAACAAGAAAATAGAAGGCTTTGTTAATTAATAATGATATTTTCCGATTTAAATTTAGTTTACCTGCTTATTATTCTTGAAAGTTTTGTTCATAACTTCTGCTTTCAGTTAATACAGTGATACCTTCTTAACGGTGTTTTTAGCCCGACTATTCCATAAGAGTAAGTAGAGCTATACCAGTCGGCGTAACCACTTGTGTTTTGTAACATCTCAAATATTTTCAAAGTCTGTTTACATATGTCTTTGAAACTTTGCACACATGTTCAACATCATAACTCCCAACATGTACACAGGAGGAGATAAATCTATCAAGCATTTAGACAGGATTATGTCCCTTTTTCAACTTACAATTTACGTTTAAGTACCACCTGAAAATAAAGTTGATTATTGGCTTTGAAACTGCACATTTGCTTACCATCATGCCCCAAATGTGATCACAGGAGGAGGTAACTCTATCAAGCATTTATCAGAATAATGCCCCTTTTTCGACTTTTACTTTACATTTACATTAAAGTTGGTATACCACCTCATATTTTCATATTACATTGATATTTTGCTTAAATACAAGTTGAAATTTTATACACTTCTTTGAGAGCCTAATAAGACTCTCCAAGGCCTATAACAGTAACATTGATTTTAAGAAAAAATGGCCCTTTTGTTAAATTAGAAAATTTTACATTATCAAGGCTCTTTTACTATTAAGCACTAAGAATAGTCAAGCGACAGCTCTTGTTATGCTGTACTGATGCTGTTTCTGTCATTCCAACTATGAGCTACCATAATTTAATAGTGATACAGAATTTAAATGGAAAGTATTATCTTTAAAAGAAAAGACCAACAAGCGGTCTGGTCTCATTAGTGGGGTTCTATTGTATATTTAACCCCAGAGTGATCTTGGGAAGACATCCAACCCCAAAATGTATCATTTATATGATTTCCTGATGTCATCCCCAGAACAACCATTTGTGCAAACATTTGGAGACCTCGCAGTGGTTTTGGACATCAGACTCCACAATGTCTCTCCTGGCTGTACGTCCGTCCGTCCACAAAACTGGATCCCGCGATAACGCAAAAAGTATGAAAGTACTTTAGGAAACTTGAATATATGGATAGATGGCAGATGGAGAGTATGCAACGTCTTTTCCTTTTCTTTCCTATGTTGAAACTTCTGGTTTGCTATGGAAAAAAATACTGAAAGTTGGCAATTTACACAAAACCGTTGATCAGTGATAAAGCAAAAGCGCTGAAAATATTTGATGAAACGTAAAATCTGGTAGATGCAGCCTGGAATTAGCACCCCTTATCTTTCTCTATTGAAAGTCTGTTAATAATTGCAACAAATAAGACAAATTGCAGCGCTTCTGATTCCTAGTCTTTTACATTTTTTTCACTCATAAGTTTTATTTCTAAGGTATTCTATACAAAACTTTACTAAGTTTCTAGCATCAAAACCAATCAATATGTGACAAGGTTACACTCTAGCACAAAATTTTATCAGAATTTCCTCCCTTGAACTTAAAATTTTCATGAAAAAAATATTGTTTTTTTTTAATAACTTTTTTTTTTCTGAATGCATCTACTTCGGACTTCATATATATGTTTCTTATTATCACTCAACATTTGTGAGAAAGTTCAATACTCTAGCAAGACTATTTCCAGAATTATGCCCCTTTTGAACTTAGACTTTTTTTCGAGAAATTGGTAATTTTTACTCCAACTGCTTTAATCATTATAGGATTTTCTTTAAACTCCCTCATAATAATATGACAAGGTTTATAAATCTAGCATCCATATTTCCAGAATTATCTCCTCCTTAAACTTTGAATTTTTCTTATTTGTTCTTTTAACTTTCTTTTACTTCAAATTCAAAATAAACATTCATTATCAATACCTTCATTACTAATTGTTCTTTGTTACACTCACATCATGTATGACGTCTTGCATCTTTATTTCAAGAGTAATATCTCCTTTTTAAGAATTTTGCTTTTAAAAATGTTATATTTTGATAAGAGGGATGTTTAAAAATATAACTTTAGAGTGTCCTTCAGTCCGTCTGTCTGTCTGTACATAAAAACTGTTTCCTGTGATCACTTTTAAAGAACTTTTTCAACAAATTTACTTAAAATAGAAACATAAGTGATTGGCCAATGGCCCTTCAGAATGTTGCTGGGGTTCTAACCGGTAGAGGACTTATGGATTGCTTGCAATACTATGATAATTGCTTGTTTTATTTCTCTCAAGGCTTGCATTCTATTCAACATTTTAGATTCGTCGTCAGGCAAGACTGAGACGAGAATATATCTACAGGAAGTCAATTGAAGACAGGGAAAGAACAATTCTTGAAAAGAAGCAAAGACTTAGAAGTGCTTTAGATGGTATGAAGATTTTTTTTTGATTTTATTCAATTTTACCAAACTACTTGGTTTTACTAATCTGACCCTGAATATATGATGCATGTTTCTGTAAAGAAATTTCACTTAAACTGCTTTACTTCATCAATGAGATTTATGGTATTTATTAATAGCATTTTAAATAGTCAATCACTTGATATAAAACATTTTGTACAATTAAGAATATATTGAAAAGGTCTAATTAATCTAAAAATGGCTTCATACTATATGATGTATAAGATACATTATACATACTATATAAGATATATATAAGATTGCTGTTGTTTTTTTTTAGGATTTTTATTGACAAAATATTGATATGAAAAAAAGAAGATAGAACTACATGAATAGTGTTATTTTCATTACAGAGAATAAACAGATACCATCAGATCTACAGGATGATGCTATACCAATCCAGAAAACTCTAGACTGGGATTACGAGGAGCTGATGTAAGTGATTTTTTTAACAAAAAATACTTTCCCTTCAGGAACGTTTCCCTCTATAGCAGGGCGTATGAGGTCTGCACCCTGAAAATGTGACAGTTTCCCCGCCAAAAAGCAATTTACATAAAGTTTTTCGTCCTTTAGGCCTTTGCAAAATATGTGTTATTTTCCCCCAAAATTAAGAGCAGGGCTGCTTTCTCAACCTTTGAAAAAAACCTTGCCCTTGGTAAATGCTGGAACTGAAAGTGAAAGCCTTTGTCACCATGATAATGCGAAGTCTCATCAGACTCTGTTCTGTTGGGTGACATGTATTTAGATTCTTAAAAAATTGATCATTATGAACAGTCACAAGATTGGAAGCTGGACTAGTCCATTTTAAAAATTCAACAGGTTATGGGTGAAAGGTTTTAAACATGTATGTTTTGTCATAAATATGACTTGATTACATGTTGTGAATGAACTGTGAGCCAGCTGGCAGCAACTGAATCAACCGGTAACACAGGTGCCAGTGGGGACCAAGATCAGCCAACACATCTGTGCCTTCTGATCCTGGTCTACACTGTTTGCTATTCTGTCAGAATGTCTGTTCATATTTTGCAACTTTTCCCATAGAGATGATGAATGGTTTTGTCAATATTGAAAGATGAACAAATCAATTTATTTTAAGATATTTTAGAGTTAGGGGCCTGTTTGTTACAATATTTCAGTGGACTGCCACTGATCATTTACTTAACAAGTGTCCAGGAACGCTCTGCCAGAATTAATGTAGTTTTAATAAATAACATCATTCAATGTTAGAGATGTATACAATTATTTAGATTGATTCTTATCTTAGAAAATTATTGAATGTTCAGATCTTATAAATCTGAGGACTATTGACCCTTACACTCCCTGCTTAATTAAGTTGATTAGCTCAGGCTCATTAAAAGCTGTAAGCTTAGTTCTTATATTTTGAAGCTGCTAGCCTAGGTTGGTTTGTTAATGGCAGTATTGGGCATGAATATGAATATTCTTTTTGATAATTACATGTACAATGTTTTTGTTGAATGTTTTTTACAGGAAATACAACTCATATAGATGATGAATATAAGTGGGCGGGAGTAGAAGACCCTAAAATAATGGTTACAACTTCCAGAGATCCTAGCTCTAAACTAAAACAGTTTGCCAAGGTATTTCCTTTTTAATACTTGAACAGTTGAATGAAAATATGCAAACTTGCCCGAAGGCATTAGAAATGTTTTTCTTGTTTGGAAGCTATCCAGAAAGCTTACAGTAGTCCAGTGGCTCTACTTGGGTGTCTTTTTCTTGAAAAATGCACAAAGTGACGTCTTAGGATTTACCTCACAGTGACTCATTAGCAATGCCTAAAAGTCACAATTTTTACAGTGCTATTTTCAATAGCCAACAACAAAAAAGGGGGAGGAAAAATTTGGAATTGTTTATATTATATATTAACCATTTAGATAGGGAAAAATGTAGAAAAGAGGAATTTAATTAACTACTTATTGACCACAGGTCAATAAGGCTAAGTAGGCGTAGTAGCCAACTGTTTGTTTCCCAACATGAAAAATGGTGATTAGATATTCTCCCGCTTTATACCAAAAGCTTAATTATGCCTCTAAAATGAGTCAAATTTTTGTGTGAGAATTCCACTGTATCCATATGGCACATAGGTATTTGCTTCCAAAAAGACCAAATTACTTTGCTAAAATTACCATTTTTGTGCCCCCAAGTTAGTGGCGGGCATTTAGATTTACCCTTGTCCGTCCGTCCGTCTGTCCGTCCGTCCGCACTCACAGGAGAGTAATTATGTGGCTAGAGGGACAATAGGTAACTGTTCTTTCTCTTTGATGTCATTCATTCCGTAATGCTTTTATGTGGCTATTTTCTTTTGTGTGGCTAAAAAGAACAATAGAGAGAACAATAGAGTAGCCACATAATTACTGTCCTGTGAGAACGTCCGTCCGTCCGTTCACTTTTGTGTCGCACGTAACTCAAAAAGTATTTGACCTAGAGTCATGAAACTTTACAGGAATGTTGATCAGCATGTGTAGTTGTGCACCTGGGTATTTTCGTCTGGATATTTTTAGTATTTTCAGAGTTATTGCCCTTGACTAAGTAAAATTTTGCAATTTTCAACTTGTGTCGCATGTAACTCAAAAAGAATTTGACCTAGAGTCATGAAACTTTACAGGAATGTTGATCAGCATGTGTTGTTGTGCATCTGGGTATTTTCGTCTGGATATTTTTAGTATTTTCAGAGTTATTGCCCTTGACTTAGTAAAATTTTGCAATTTTCAACTTGTGTCGCACGTAACTCAAAAAGTATTTGACCTAGAGTCATGTTACTTTACAGGAATGTTGATCAGCATGTGCAGTTGGGCACCAGGTATTTTTGTCTGGATTTATTTAGTATTTTTAGAGTTATTGCCCTTCACTTAGAAAATTTTTGCAATTTTCAACTTGTGTCGCAAGTTACTCAAAAAGGATTTGACATAGTCATTAAACCTTATGGGCAGGTTGCTCAGCATATTTAGATTTGCACCTGGGGTTTCGCTTGTGGATTTATCCAGTATTTGTAGAGTTATTTCCCTTGACTTAGTAAAAAGATTGACAGAACAGTGGCGCGGTGGGGGCACCCGTGTCCTATGGACACATTTCTAGTTTTACAAAGACTTGTCCATGCACTGTATCGTTTGTATGTCTTTAATAGTCCATTTATTGTTCATTTCCATAGGAAGTACGACTTTTGTTTCCAAATTCACAAAGAATCAACCGCGGTAACTACGAGATAAAGCAGCTTGTGGACGCGTGTCGGTCCAATGACGTAACAGATCTTATTATTGTACAAGAACATCGTGGAGTACCTGATGGTCTCGTTATATGTCATCTACCGTACGGACCCACGGCATACTTTAATCTGTCAAACGTCGTGATGAGACACGACATTCCTGATACAGGGACAATGTCCGAGGCTTACCCTCATTTAATCTTTAATAACTTTTCTTCAAAGCTTGGAAATAGGGTATGATATTTTGTTATTCGTATAATTTCAACCAAAATAGGATTATGATAAAGAGTTACAAGTAAATTGATAAAAGGAGGCTATTTGTATGTGCATTTATCATATGGCTTTAATAAAAAATGAAAAATCACTTTCTGTTCATCATTCAAAATCCAGGGAGATAAACTATAAACTTCTTTATGAGAATATTTTACAGTTAGTTCCCTTTATACATGGGAGCCTGTCTTAAAGTTTGATGTTTCATTACTTATTATTTTATTTTATATTGCTTTGAAAATGTTTGATAAACTTGTTACAGTTAAAGAATATTCTTAGACTTTGAATTCTTTTTCTTGTTTCCTAGGTGAAGAGTATATTGAAATATCTATATCCTGTACCAAAAGAGGACAGTAGAAGAATAATGACATTTTCTAATGATGATGATTTCATATCTTTTCGGTAAGATTCTGTTTTACGATATTGTTTTATTCCTTTTAGATTTTGATGATTTTGATGAAAGTATTGTTATCAGAAGTCTTATTTTGTGTTTGATGCCCTAAACTATGTTTCAAGTTTGAGACAAAGCAATGTCTTTAGTTGATTTTATGGACGAGTCTAGAGTTTATGTCCAATAGAAGCTGAATTTGGGTATGAGTTTAAAATTTTTCTTAGCTTTGTTTAGTTGTATCTGAATTAATGAACGCACCTAAACTTTTGCCAAATTCAAAGTGTTTTATAAAAAATGAGTCTTAATAGAGTGTTGTCAGTTTTGTAAATTTGTAGCAGAATTTATGTTTATTCATCTAAAACAGTTTCAGTTTTGTTAAGTTGTTAATCATGAGAGAGGTTTTCCTGATTTGTTGGAATCTGGTCACTCGGCTGAATAGGGAGAGCATTAAATTTGTAATCCAGGGGTCACAAGTTTCTATCCTCGCATGAGGCAAAAATCTTCGTGACAATTAATATCAGACATTTGTCTGTCCCTACTGATTCAAAAATCGTGATAGATAAGTAGTGGTCATTTGCTTAGAAATTGGTACTTAACTGTTAGTTATCCAGAAAAGCTAGTTAGGTGTGTTTGATATGTGTTGAAGTTGCTGTAAAAATGTGTTAAGATTGGCGTAAAAAGCATCAAAACAAACATGAATGATATGAGGAGTTAAATAATTTTATTTGTGTATTTATTACAGACATCATGTATATAAGAAAGTTGATGGTGGGAAAGATATTGAATTAGAGGAAGTTGGACCAAGATTTGAAATGAAAGGTAATTTAAATATAATGAAAAAAATAAATGGAATGATAACTTTGTTATCTCTTTAGTGGCATATTAAGTGTTTTAGTTGTTTTGTAATAGGGTCAGTTTAAGGACATTTTTGGGAGTTTTCGCTTCATTGTAAATTATCTGCCCTTGAATTTAACGAAAAATTCCAATTCAAGGGCAAATAACTCGAAAATGAGAGTGATGACCCCACATTTTTTTCCTTTTAAAATGTTTCTGTTATCATTTTCTAATAACATTAGTTTAAAGAAATTATATTGAACAGTTTTAATTTTGCCTATATGTCTATATGAAAACTCAGAAAACGTCTTTAAAGCAGCATGCCCCCAGATTCATGCTTATTTTCATGGCAATTTTAAAAATGTATTAAAAAGTAAAATATTATGAAGTGAACTATAAAAATATTTTACATATTACAATTGGCACTATGATCCACATTAATTAACAAAAGGAGCAAATATGAAAAAATAGCCCTTAGTCACACAGCAGAAATATGGTGATAATTACTGCAAAATTAGTCATAATCACACTTGTAAATAATTACTTGAATCTACAATCATTTTACTTTTCTTAAAATCTAAGTACATTTCTCTTAAATTTGATTTTCTTGAATTATTTTGGTTCATCTAGCATTAAATAAGTATCTATAATAAAAAAAGACTGTTTGAAGCTAAGGTCACACTTTGACAACCTACATTATCTTATTATATTGTCATTTAAAAAGTCTAAATTTGGAAATTACCGACATTCTTTTCCCATAAACAGTTTACATTAAAGTTTATTTAACCATTTATTTAAATGTCACATCTATTTAGACAAGCTGCATTGTTCCATTTAAGCTGTTTAAAGTATTTTGCCTTTTGTATGTCAAAACTGTGAGTTTCCAACCAATAACTTGCCAACCCATGGGCCCTCAGCTCTCAAACTTCACAGGTGTATTGGTCTTGTTCAGTTGTGAACCCTATTGATTTTGAGGTTGCTGGGTCAAAGGTCAAGGTCACATTGACCTTGAATGTTAAAATGGTTTCTGACCAATAACTTGACAACCAATCGGACAAACATTTCTTGTACATGTATATATTATCTAGTACGATTTGTGATAACTTTGTCATAAAATTGCCGCACACAACATTTAAGGTCACAATAACCTTGTGACTAACCATGTAACCCTTATTAATTTTTGGGTCAAAATTGGCTGCTAGTAGGAGGCATACATGTTTTTCAAACATATCTTGTTGTATCACAGTACCAGTAATATTTTGGTTTTCAATTGTGCCACTCAGTAGGTTTTCTGACCTCATCCAGATTTTATGTTTTAAAGGCACATTATGCTTTGAAAATGAGTAAATTTTAACTTCTTTAAAAAAAGAAAACTTGAATTCTATAAAGTTTATATTATGGTTTTGGAGCATGTTAGATGCTTGTTGCCTTAAGAAAATGGTGCTTGATTTTAAGTTATTTGTCATAAAAGTAGAAAAATTTAAGCAAAGTGGTATTTTTACTTCCATACAAAATACTATTTCACTTTAACTGTACTAATTGCCAGTATACAACAGAAGAAAAAAATGGCTCAGGTAATCGGCCAATATGTAAGATATTGGAAAAGAAGTGCACCAAAAATAAAATGCTTTGGAAAAATAAAATTGAAAGCATTTCTAGGATATGATGGGCCTTTAAATACCCAGACTGAATTATCTCATTATTTGGTTTATATCAGTAACGTATAATTAATTATTTGATAATAGTAAATGAGTTTGCACTGATTTGGTTTTAGCTTTTAGTTCATGAATAATTGTTAATGTTAGAAATATAGTGTAATTCAACTATCTTTCTATTGCGAAAAGCCGTTACAAAAAACCCCCCAAAAGATATGATACTTTTGGTTTCATAAAAAAAAACAGGTAAACCAGGCATGACTTGTTGCTTGCGCTTTATCTTTACTTCACAGTGCATAGATATAATGTTAGGTAGATGTTGACAATTTTTGTAGATAAAGTAATTTTTTTGATAATTGATAGTGTAAAACTTATACCTGCAAAAGAATTAAGTTTTAATACAGTCTTACTTCCTTCCATTTAACTGACTGGTTTTCTATATTTTTATCTTAGTTTACCCAATAATTCTGAGAACCCATGACATATTCTTTATTAATGCTATGGTCCAGTGGTTACGGTTGTTGCCATTCTACAACTTGACCCTTACCAGTGTGGGTTCAATCCCACCAGAGACTTTGGATCCAATTAGGTATCAGCTAACTTACAGAAAGTCACTGGTTCTACTCAGGAGCATGCTCATGCCAAAAATAATGCACAATAGAGCACCAGATATCTACCATAAGTTGCCATATGACCTTTATAGTCTTGTTGTAACTTTAAACCCATCAAAAATGTATATAATTATATCATTGTAACAGTAACTTGTTTGATATATTTTACTGTCAGTTTATAATGTACTAGTAATTTTAGGAATTTTTGGCACAGAATATATTAATTCCTTTTTCACTGACTGGTTTTGTGTATATTTTTTTCAGTTTACCAAATAATTCTGGGAACTTTGGACACAGTCTCTAGCTCAGATGTAGAATGGGTGTATAGACCTTACATGAACACTGCCAAGAAAAGGAAGTTTTTGACAAATGAATGAAATCAGTGATAAGACATTGGATATACATGTGTAAATTGTGAAAGATCAAGCCAGACCTGTTAATGGATGTTGCAGTTATTTACCGCAGATAAGCATGGACTGCAATGTTTGTGCACGCCTTGATTTGAAACTTTAAAAGGAATAACAATATCAAGTCCTAGGCCATTAAAAGTAGCTTACATTAATATAAAAGATTTAAAGCTCAGAAATTGGATATTTTTTATGCATCTTGATAAAGATAGTTCATCTAGAAAAATATTGAATTCATAATAATTGGATAAAAACAACTAATGACTTGAGTGAAGTTTACTCAGAAAATGATTCAAAACATCCAAATTTATCTGAAACTCGGTCCCATGTGAAAAGAATCTTGTCTAGAGTGAGTCTAATTAATAACAAAAAAAAAAGCAACAACAAAATGCAAACAAAAAAGTACAAAAAAATACCCAAGCAATGACTAAAAGTATTTCTTCAAAAAGAAGAACACAAGGATGATATGTTAGTAAATATGTTTTATGTCTTTGTTATTGTCGGTAAATAGCTTATTAGCTAATGTTTCTTGTAATATGTATACCGACTCAAAATAAAGTTTCTTGTATCTTATCAATAAGAACAGTTTTAATGTTTTTGGGTTTGTTTTTTTTGTCTTTTTTTTAAGTAACCGGAGTGCATATTTCAATTAACTTTATGATTCAGACAGTTATACTAGTAAAAACGGTTTATTGATGGGGTAAAAGTTTTAATGATATGTATAAAGTATTCTTCATCTGCACAGTTTCTGGATGACTGTATGCATATATTGTTATAATAAACAATTCATTTTTTTGACTGCACTCGGTAACAGCATATTTTACGTGCAATAAATAAATCTGCTTGAGGGTGTGTGTAAGAATAGTGCATTAGTAATAACAACTTGTTTACTTGACACTTTTTTGTGACAGTTATAAATTGGTTTCACTGACTGACTTGGTGAGATGAGCAGAATATATTCGGCAACTAGTTTCAGTACATTGTGCAGTGCTGTTATGTCAACTCTCTGAATAAAGATCCTGAACTATGATTGTCCTCTTCATTTTGTGCCATTGTTTTGTGTTTTCTGCTATATAATAAAAAGGTTAATGATAATTATATTAACTTGTAAAGAAAGACCACCTGTTGATAACAGTTATCAGTACATTGCAATGCTGTAAAACCTCTGAATAAAGATCCTGAATTATGTTTTGTCATCTCAATTTTGTGTCATTGTTTTGTGTTTGCTGATACATAATAAAAGGCTAAAAATTTATTAACTTGTATATAAAGACCACCTGTTAACAACAGTTGTCAGTACATTGTAATACTGTAAAACCTGTGAATAAAAATCCTGAACTACCACTGTCAAGAAAAGTGTACATTTTCCTTTTTCTGGAATTGTATCACTTTGAGTTATTATGTCTCCCCCACCTCGGGGGGAGACATATTGTTTTTGCCCTGTCCGTCCGTCCGTCAGTCCGTCCGTCAGTCCGTCCGTCCATTCTTCGTTTCCGGACGATAACTAGAGTTCCTTTTGACCTACAGCCCTCAAACTTCATAGGATGATTGGTCTTATAGAGCTGATGATCCCTATTGTTTTTGGGGTCAGTAGGTCAAAGGTCAAGGTCACAGTGACCGTTGGTCAATTTCTCGTTTCCGGATGATAACTAGAGTTCCTTTTGACCTACAGCCCTCAAACTTCATAGGATGATTGGTCTTATAGAGCAGATGATCCCTATTGTTTTTGGGGTCAGTAGGTCAAAGGTCAAGGTCACAGTGACCGTTGGTCAATTTCTCGTTTCCGGATGATAACTAGAGTTCCTTTTGACCTACAGCCCTCAAACTTCATAGGATGATTGGTCTTTTAGAGCTGATGATCCCTATTGTTTTTGGGGTCAGTAGGTCAAAGGTCAAGGTCACACTGACCGTTGGTCAATTTCTCGTTTCCGGATGATAACTAGAGTTCCTTTAGACCTACAGACCTCAAACTTCATAGGATGATTGGGCTTATTGAGCAGATGATCCCTATTGTTTTTGGGGTCAGTAGTTCAAAGGTCAAGGTCACAGTGACCGTTGATCAATTTCTTGTTTCCGGATGATAACTAGAGTTCCTTTTGACCTACAGCCCTCAAACTTCATAGGATGATTGGTCTTATAGAGCAGATGATCCCTATTGTTTTTGGGGTCAGTAGGTCAAAGGTCAAGGTCACAGTGACCGTTGGTCAATTTCTCGTTTCCGGATGATAACTAGAGTTCCTTTTGACCTACAGCCCTCAAACTTCATAGGATGATTGGTGTTATAGAGCAGATGATCCCTATTGTTTTTGGGGTCAGTAGGTCAAAGGTCAAGGTCACAGTGCAGTGGGGGAGACATGCGCTTTTTTACAAAAGCATCCTCTAGTTAATAATTTAATATTGAACATTACAACTTTTATAATTTTTCCTTAATTGGTTCAACTTCTCTATTAAGACCATTTTAAGGAAAGTGACATTTTATTGCAGATGGTCTTGTGGTAATAAAAATAGTCATTACTAAAGTTCAAATAATGTTGTCAAGATCCAGGTTACAATGAATTAAAGGAGGTATTCCCTTTTTTTACTCTCTTTCTCTTGGGAACACAATCTTTATTGAAGGTTTACTAAAATCGCTTAATAAAATTCTTTTCAAAATATTTATGGAGGAAATTTTAATTTATTTGTTTTCAAGTTTGAATAATAAAGCAATCAATTTGTTTTGATAGGAATGCAACCAACTGCAAAACTGCAATTTTTTAGCGCATTAACAATTTCAAAAGTCTGTATTTGTTTGCCATTTTATTTGTTTTTGAAGTTTGATTTATTACACAATCATTTGGCTTTAATCAAAAAACTATATAAATGCACTTCTTTTCCACATGAATCATTTGAAAAAAGTAAAGGAAAAAAATAAAACAAAAACTTATTTTTATGATCCTTAAAACAAAACAGAGGTTTGGAGAGGATTGGGTATCTTATTTAATGACTTATTCTTTTATATAATGCCTTCATTAGCTGATTCTTAAATATTAATGCTTTAAGTTTCTCAATTGTAACCTCTACCTTTGGATGGCACTTGAGTTCATTGGGGGTCAAGGTCATATAGGTTATTAATAGATTTGTCTTCTTTATGATATAAATAAATTGGCAATAATTTAAATATTTTAATTGAAGAGTCTGTTACTTTGCATAGACTTTATACCAGTTGGTGGGGTTGCATGTCAATAAGGTCAAGTTGAAGTTCATTAAGACTAGGGTTTTCATGTCAATAAGGTCAAGTTCAAGGTCATTAAGACTAGGGGTTTGATGTCAATGGGGTCAAGTTCAAGGTCATTAAGACTTCAAGTTGATTTTCCAATCTTTATAGTTGGCAATATATTTTTATTACTTTCAAAACAGCATTAGGGGAACACCCATCTGTGTCACAGGCAATTTTTTTTGTCAGTCAAATAAATAATGAAATATAAAATCCATGTTAAAAATGAGTTAAGTACAGTGTATGTTAACTGTGATAAATTAAAACAATGTGCATGTGTAAACAGCATGATTATTTTATTTAGCTATGATTAAAATATTTTATATCTTTACAATTGTTCATTTTCTAATTGTTTACCTATAAAATGATAATAATGACGGACAAAACATGTCTTATTTTTAGTTCAGTTTGTTCAATTTGTGATTAATACTCTAAATTTATCTCATTCCTAATAAATTTTATTGACTAGTTACAAAATCAAAGATATTGACTGTGACCCTTTTTTATGACATTCAAATGGTCTATATACCATGAGATAAAAATTAGGGATGTCATCCGGAGTCCGGATATCCGAACGTTCGAATCACGTTTCGGTGTTAAAAACTCAATTTTTGGGCTAGTCAAAATCCTGTCCAGATGTTGATTATTATTGAAAAACATGTTATTTAAAGTCAAACAAGTGTTCACGGTTATCAAAGTTTAAAAGTAAAGGGCCATAAAAGCTAGATAAGATTTGGTAGTTCTCTAGGGTTGAACATTATTGGTCATTGACATTAGTTCAACTGCTTTAAAGGCAGGTTATGCATCAGAAATAAATGTACTTTAAGGCAAAGATGTGTTTAATAATAGAAAGTTCCTGATTTCTCCAATATGTATCTCCCTTGCCAATAGTGGTTGCCATTATGGCTGTCAACATTATCTATAATATAGTTGACAAAATATGAATATTCAATTTAAACAGCTGATAAGTCAAATTATTTAAGCAGTATACCTCAACAAGGCAATGGGTAGAACCCATATAAGTGCATGTTCAAAGTTAAGGTTACTTTTGAATGTCAAAGGTCAAATATTAGACAATTTCATATTTGCTCCATAAATCTTATACCCTTGAAGGATTTTCTTCAAACTGCTCAACAAGATGATGTGCAGACTTAAGGTCAAGGTCACCTTTGAAGGTCAATTGTCTGATAATGTCTGCTCCCCCTTGAAAGATTCTCATCAAACTTGGCTCAAATGTTCACTCAACAAGGCAATCTTCAGAACCCATGCTGCAAGCTCAAGGTCAAATGTCAGACAATTTTGTCTGCTTTATAAACACTATACCGCGTAAAGGATTTCTTCAAACTTTGTTGCGAGTTTGACTCTCCCCGGAGATGTTGTTTTATTTCTTTGGAATGAAAGAAATAATATAGAGTATTGTGCCTCATCAAACCTAAATAGTACTGCATATACATTACAGTATAGCACAGCCAAATGCACTAAAAATATGCCTCCACCCACCACAAACAAGCAGTCTGTGTGTATGTGATCTCTGTACACTAAGAATGTCGAATGACTTTACAGAAAGTAAGTTATGTTATATAAGATTTAGATTATTTAGGTTATGCAAATATAGACTTTAAGATAGGAAACATATTTAAAAGCTGTATTTTTGTAGGACACGCCACAGTTTACGTATTTATATACCATTGATGACCAGGTTAGAATGTGTGATTCTAGTTCAACGACTGGAGATTGACAAATTTCTAATTTATCTAGGTTGTGCATCGTTAAATGTAATGCTGTTTACGAGTAAAGTGCCCTTATGACCCCTTGATATTTAGGGTAAACGCCAGCTATGACTTTGTTTGTTCCCTCACTGTTTGCTGTACATCCAGTACATATGAAACTTTGCCTAAAATGATGAATAGAAATTGGTTTGTCCAAATTGAAAAATGGACATGTCCTTTTCAAATATTTTGATTCAAAAGATTTCAGAAATATTCAAAGCAAGCGACAGAACTGTCTAGATTTGCTTAAGTTTGTATACGAATATAAGTCAAGAAGAAATTTCTATTGCCGATTATGAAATTCAATATGCTCTTTATGTCATTAAAATGTCCGTACAATATCATGAATAAAATGTCTTTTTTATTTTTCTTCATATATCAAAGCTCTGGATTGTCTGCTACGTCCACTATATATCTGCGGTGGGTATTTTTGTACCAGGAATGTGGCCCTATTTTGATAACAGTAACTTTTCTTATATTATTATATACATGTATTTATCTTTAGTTTAAACAATATTTTATTAATAATCCACACATTTACATAATAAATTACATAAAATAAAATTTACGGATTGAGTAGGAAGCTTGTAAAGCTTTTTTGAAAACTCTCTCCGTGATTTTTGATCTTTGATCAGTGCTTACTTAATGATTCACTAGAATGCAACCTAAAAAAAGCAACATGTGAAATTGTAAACGAAAGTGTTAGATCAAATCATATTAAAACAACAAACAATTAAGTAAACAAAAAACAATTTTTTTTTGCGATGAGTAATAAGGTTTGCTTGAAAAGACGTGTCGCTTCCCATATTTAACTAAATCCTATATCACGCGTTAAACAGTTTCTCCTTTCTAAGCCACGCATGTTTGATAACATATTTAAAACCGTGGACAACCCGGATATTGTGAAATTCTTGTTAGATTTTTTTTATTTCATATCTTTATATCTGTAAGAATTGACTTTGTTAATGCGTTTTTACATAATTATTAGTAAGAATATATGTTCATGCATATATTATATATAAACTTTCACGTTATAATAAAAATATAATATTTAAAAGGTATTCGTCGGTTTAAAATTACACCACTTGGTGCGACTTCAACATCGAACACGGCTTTATAGATCAGGTTTTATCGCCATGGCACTCAATGTTGCTCGCCTCAGTACTAGTATGCTGAAATAAAAACAACCTTGATTTGCACTCTGAAGAAAACACAATAATTTTATGCATGTACCAGTGCCCACTTTGTTGTTGGAAAATCAAAGATAACATGACTAAGGGAGACGGACGAAGAATCTACTAGCGCGGAGATGTACAAGCTTTACGATTTTTACAAGGAACAACCACGTAATTACTGTTATTTAAATTAAGTAAAAAGTGTAGTTTTTAAATCAAATGAGCAAATGGTAGGGTTTTCATTCTTGTTTTTTTTTCTTTTTTTATCTTCTTCAAAAATTCGACATTTACTTTAACAATCCTCCGGACATGTATAAAAATACATTTTTTTTTCTGTCGCATAAAATCTTGTGTTGTACAGCTGCTAAATTAGAAATATTTTTGTTTTAAATATCTAGGATTTCAAAATCCTAGATTTGAACACTGTGAACTCGAATAATTAATAATTTTTTCTTACTAAATTTATCGGTTGTATTACAATTTATTGTGGTCTTAAATGAAGACAGTTGGTACACCGGATCTATGCATGCTCATGTTTTGATTAAAAAATGTTTTATCTAATATTTAAATATCAAATTTAGGTGAACGGTGCATAAATAGAACCAAGTACTATACACTATTTGTGTGTATATCATGAACAGCTGATTAACAATATTGATAATCTTTCGTAAACTATACAAATAAATCAAAATAGACTCCCATAAAATTGTTTACCAATTTGTTATGGTATTTGGACAATATTTAGTAATAAAGTTTTGAGTTTTTAAGGAAATTAAACAACAATATTTCAAATGTTTGATTGACTTTCTTTGGTTTTGTTCTGTTTTATTGAATTCAAAAATTTTCATATTTTTAAATGAATTTTGTCACTTTTATACTACATGATTGTATTTTCACAGACCCTTACTTTCATAATGTTTTCATTGACTTTCTAGTTAAATTATTTTCATGGACTTTCGGTAGTTCAATACTTTTTTCATTGACTTCCGTTAGTTTTATACTGATTTTCAAGATTAAAAAAATCATTCATGTTTTCATTTACTTTCGTTAGTTTTATACTGTTTTCATTGGCTTTCGGTAGATCTATACTGTTTTCATTGACTTTCGGTAGTTCTATACTGTTTTCATTGACTTTCGGTAGTTCAATACTGTTTTCATTGACTTTCGGTAGTTCTATACTGTTTTCATTGACGTTCGGTAGCTCTGTACTGTTTTCTTTGACTTTCGGTACTTCTATACTGTTTTCTTTGACTTTTGGTAGTTCTATTAATTGACTTTCGGAAGTTTTAAACTGTTTTCTTTGATTTTCGATACTTTTATACTGCTGGTAGTTTTTGTACTATTATATGGACGTTTGTAATCAAAGCGAGTCTGCCATTTCCATGTAATTTTGTTGGAGGAAACTACAGTGCAATCTATTCAGAGCGACCCTTTGTAAAGAAATGCCCTCCATACAAGTACAGTACAAATTCGACCCAAATTAAATTCAAAACCTCTCAACAGCCGTTTCCTCTGAAGAACAAATTATCAGCAGCATCTAGATATTTGGTTAGCAAAGGGTGTTGTTACGCCGAGGTTGTACTTTATAGTAAATCAGTAGATAATAAGTATCTACTTAAATACTGTTTATCTAAGCGCGTGACATGTCACAGAAGTCTCTTTATATCGACACAATGTGTGCTTGAATGAAATTAACAGATACACACTTGTTACTTTGAAGTGTTGCATAGTGGCGGCCTCGAAATATCACCAGCACTTTTGTCGTCTGCGTTTGATTATATAAACCATGAAATATACTTTTAAATAAAGAAAAAGACAGTGTATACAACAAATGTTTTACAGTTTTTAGAGCATCACCATTAACGTTTAACATACGATAGACTCATTCAGTAGACTCATCCGTTAATAATTCTTGGTGAACTACGTACGTTTCTAATAATATAACAGCCACGGCTGTATGACGGAAGAAAACCTGTTAGACGCATGTCTCTTTCCGTGATCGGTAATTTCTAAATTCTAGTTTCCTACAGAATACAGGATCGATAGCTGCGACATTATTTCTCTTACAGTACTTTCTCACTTTTAATCGGTTATCTCTAAAATATTGTCAAGGCCTAAGACATTTATAATCAGTCTGATAACACATAATCAAATTTATCTTGTGTATCACATTCTATATTTTTAAATCTTAAAAATAGATAATAAGTTATATTTTTGACCCCCGAGTATCACGTGACCTTTCACCGCGATCACGCACGAGACGGCCGTACAAGCCGTGACCGAAATCTAACGCATCTTTATAAAGGAATGCCTCGTTAATGTATCCATATATCAGTCAGAGAAAATATTCGGATTGTGAATAAAGCTGGTGAGTCAAGTTTAATCAAGTTTTAAATTATGAAATAATACATATCAGTTTAAATATATTTGACAATTTTATGCCATTTTCCCCCCTCAAATTAACTGTTCTGGTAAGCTTGAAATTTTCCAGACTCATCATTTTGTGAATTCTGGACAGAATTATGCTGCGATTAAGAAATATGTTATTTTTGTGCTCATTAATGAAAAATGTATATACGTTTGTACAAAGTCTATATAGACCTATTGTGTGATATTTTATTGCTTATGTGATGATCGTGTTTTGTCGATGCGTGTTTTTTTTACACAAAAATGAATTTAAAAAAACTCGTGTAGCAGAATAGGTATATATATAAAAAAGGGAATAAAGAGTATAAGATGGACGTGCATAAAAGATAACTAGGTATGGGATGAATGTAAAAAAATATATTTTATAATTTCTCTTAATAAACAAGGATGTAATATGCGGAAAGAAAGTTTCGTCTGCAAGTAAAACTAGAAAATTAGTTAGCATCGACAGTCCTTAAAATGGAGCGTTTTGTCTCATTTTGTCGATATTTTCCGACTGTTTCATTTTGGAAAAAAATGATAATAAAATTTAATACATGATAATAAAAAAACATTGAAAAAAAAGAAGAAAAAAAAGGAACACCCCCCCCCCACCCCAAAACAACAACATCAAAACTGTACGATGGCAAATTAAATATTTGACAAAAGAATAGGAATTAAAGTACGCAACATCAAATACCTCAATAAACATCATGAACTTTCGTATTCTTTTGATCAAGATAATTTTCTTACACAATCTAAAATTTTATTTTAGTTATTCAACTTTGTACCAAGTCCACTTAGAGTTATTAATGTTTTTTCTCTCTTTTATTTACCACTTATATATTTGACAAAGGTTTTTTCGATAATTTATTTTATTGAATAATCGATTTATATTTTCAAGTAAACCATTGATCAAGAACATGCCTCAGCCGCATGATTTTGCAGTTCTACGGTCTTTATAAGTCATAATCAACAAACCAAGGTTTAATATTTCATGGCGACATTTTAGACAAAACAATATCATGTTTATTGATATTTTCATTCTATAGTTAGTGGTAAAAGATTCTTTACAATAGTTTTAAACTATTTCAGTCATCATGGGTACTATCAGTGAAATCGACACAATGTTTAGTATGGAAGAAGAAGTCAGTTCAAGAATAAACAATAAGTTGGAGGGACGGACGATCATCAAAAATGGGATTCCACCGGAAACGGACTTGTATATGAACGGCGGAAGTCCGGGTCTCGAGATTCGTAGACTCGATGAAGAGTACAGACGACGGGCTTCACAAGTATCGTGTAAGTGTTATGCACGTTTTTCTCGTTTTTCGTCACCTATCATGTTTTCGAGTTATCTGCCCTTGAATATGATTAATTTTGCGAAGCTTTGGCATTGCAAAGGCAAATTAGTCTTACATTCTTGTCTTGTTTCATTATTGGTTTATGTTTTTCATTCATGGAATTCCAAGTACAAATAAATAATTTAGTCAGCAATTCTTTAAATGACAATTTTAATGAAAGTGGCATAGCTTTAAGTAAAGATAAAACGGAATCCCTAAAGAACGCCCAACATGGCCATATTGAAAATGTTGCACGGCATATTTGATGAAAGGTGGCTAGTCTACCGTTGACCCCCAAATAAGTCCGATTTAATGTTTGTTCTGTTCTGTTGTGTTATGCACGTTTTTCACGTTTTTCGTCATCTATCATTTTTTCGAGTTATCTGCCCTTGAATATGATTATTTTTTCGAAGCTTTGTCATTGCAAAGGCAAATTAGTCTTACATTCTTGTCTTGTCTTGTTTCATTATTGGTTTATGTTTTTCATTTCTTTCTCCGTCTCATGGAATTCCAAGTACAAATAATTAATTCAGTCAATGACAATTTTAATGAAATTGGCATAGCTTTAAGTAAAGATAAAACGGAATCCCTAAAGAACGCCCAACATGGCCATATTGAAAATGTTGCACGGCATATTTGATGAAAGGTGGCTAGTCTACCGTTGACCCCCAAATAAGTCCGATTTAATGTTTGTTCTGTTCTGTTCTGTTCAGTACCTCGGTGCAATTTAAGTAGCATACGTAAAGGTGATTTACAGCGCGCTGATAAAGTACGTCACAGATTAAAAGTTTATACCTGACGTAAACAAATTTGCAACATGATACACGCTACCGTAGAATGGCCTTGATTTTGGACACTTAAGTACACAATGCAAAAGACCTTGTGCGAAATAAATAGTAACTTAAAATAGATAAAAATGGGATAATATCGGTGATTGACATTGCGTGTTTATCATGAATAAATATGAGATAATAAATTTAGTCACAATAAAACATTTATAACTTTACGAAAAAACAAAAGTCGCGCAACGGTTCAAAACAAGATTTCAAGACGCACTCAGTAATGTTAATTAAATACAATCATGTAGTTACACTTGAATGATGATTACCTTTGTTTAGATCATTTGTAGAAGCGGTATTTTGGGTAAGATTTGGGATAAAAGACACACTTCAAAAACATCCTCAGTATATTTCTATACACTTAAGGTGTTGTATTCTAAGAGATTTTCACGTCAGAATTAAACCTAATACACTATCAAAGCACTGTGGCTGCCCCATAATCTGTACTGTTTTGATAGACGAAATATTGTAAAGATTTGATTACAATATGTCCAAAATTTGGTTCCACTGATTATTTAAATTGACTAGTACTTGTCAACCTTACGTTTTGTCCTCCAAAGATAAAACTAGTGTACTTTGATAGTCTGGTTATAGTTATTTGGTCCATTTCTTGACCTATCCGCGCTTAACTATGGTCTTTTCGGGATTTACCGAACATTTGCGCCAATTTAATGCATTTTTAAAAAATAAAGACAAACAAATCTAATTATGTTTGGAATGTTTATGTAACAATAATATAATATATTATAATTCAATAGACCTCTATATAGATCTATGTGTATACAAGAAAAATATTACATACATTCGTATGTAATATAAGTACGATTGCATACTACTTTTTGTGAAGACTATGTTTGCTGAATTAAAGGTGTAATATAAAATGAACAAATATGTCATGAGATATTTTATATCTTTAAAAGTTTTCATGGAATGTAATTAATGTATCACCATATTAAAGTTGCATGCTTTCAGATGAGAAAAATGATTTTCAAGGAAATCAAAATATGAAAAGAAAATTCACGGTCAATTGACTGCTTTGAAGCATAATCAAAAATAAAAATTACAGGAAATTAAAACCTTTTTAATACACTTAAGGTAGAATTTCATCGAAATCATAGTCAAAAGATTTGAGATATGATTATTTATTCATATTAACATCATTATTGTTATAATATTGATAAAAAAAACCCCGAAAGACACAGTTTGTAAATATTTATTACAATAAAATATGAAAAAGGTATACGCGCCGAGGTTAGCTATAATTAAAATTCCCGCGCTAATTGCGGTGGTGCTTGGGATAATCACTTGATACTGTAAATGGCAGCCATTTTACGATACGAATCCTCGAAAAGTTTATCTGCCGAAAAGATATGAAAAAAATACTTGCAATTCAAAGTTTGTTGGCTACATAAAGATTATCGATTTACTCTTTGCACACTTTTTCTCTGCCTGAGTAAAAATAATATTGACGTGTTTATTCATTGGCTTAAACCATCACGTTACCAATACACATGTAGGTGTGAACTAATTTCGTGTTCATTAAAATTATTCCGTTAATAGACATATAACAATCTTATTTACAAATGAATTGATAAAACAACAATCCCAGAAGCATTTAAGATAATAACAATCATTGGAAAAAAATAAATGCATATAAATTGTAAATTTGTGTATGAAAACTCAACCCCCTAAACAAAACATAATAGACCAAAACAAGCGCCTGCTTCTTCACCTAACTATGTAGTTGCATGACCATGATTAGCAATTTAGCGAACCAAATCTAAGAGATAAACCTATTGTAAAAATAATACTATGACCACAGCAGATTTCGTACAGAAAAAAAGTTCACCGACAAACTTCGATACTTGTTTATGACAGATAATCGTTAGGTCATTGACTGTCACAACGAACGTGCAGGGGTTATCACGGAACAGTGCAGTGAATACAGACTCAATTAATAAACTCTCAATGGTATTCTAAACAAAGACTCAAAATCGTTCAAAAGTCCTTTATCAAAATTCATTGTATCGAATTAAGACTTTGACATTGCAAGAGTCTCCTTTTTTTGTTGTTTATCTCTTTTTTTTTCAATTGTCAAGACTGTTTTGTTTTAAGCTGTTTTATGTACATTACGTTACGTGCATACGTAAAAGTGCTAGTCGCGTTGAGTAGTTGTATGTGAATTTTATGTAAAATATCTATCTGACTTTATTGTTATTTTGTACTAGACAAGATAACAAAAACGAGGAAAAAAAGGATGACTAACAATATTAAACATATTTTAGGTCAAAGCAATGCGACTAGCACCTTTGTGTATCACTGTATAGGTAAAAATAGAAAGAACTATAAAACAATGTCTAACAAGCCCAGTGTCTGCCATCAGATATCTATAACTCAAGGATATAAGAATGGTTTCATTTAATTAATACAATCAAGTGAGGGAATAATATGTTATAAGACATAAACGACTAAGCAGACCATGTATTCTGCATTTGATGTCTTTAAGGCATTGAAACCTTTGAACTATATACATATACCTGCAAAATAATATTTTACGTGAACTTCAAACAGATTTGAAAAACAAAATACAATTGATTAAAAATAAACAACCTAAAATATACAAACAAAGAAGACTAGAGGTGATCAAATAAGCACATAGAATAGTTGATACCACATTTAGCAATTTATTTATCTAAAAGATCATTAATACCAATTTCATTTACATTATTACACTTATAGTTTACTTTATTCATTTTTGAAAATGCTCTGTAAAGGTTTATGTAAAGGAATTATCGTATTAAAACAAAAATGAATTTCGAAAAGTTAAGGAGGTACCAAACAACGTCAGTGCCTTCAGAACTTTGATTCATGATATAATAAATTTTGGCGGTCATCTTAAACAATGTCAAATTTTATATGTCACTCTTTCCAAGGTCACTGCCCGTTAAGTTCACAAACCGCCAACATTGTTAGGTACCATAAACAAATAGTATTATAACGAAAATGCACGTTTACAAAACACACAACTCAAATTTGTATCTAAAATTGAGAGCAACTTTTTTCAGAGGTCATGATAAATAAAGGTTACTTATTTCAAGGTCAATATTGTTAAAGCCAAGATAAGATAAAAAAAAATACCTTTGGGAATAAAGGAGGTCATCGACTTACTCTTAATAATCTAGTTCAAAATCGATTTAGAAAAATGGTTTAAGTGACATAAGGGGGTTTTTTTTCGTTGTAAAGTTGAGTTGAAGTAATACTATATGTTTAACGATTGACTATTTTAATGGTGATTTACCAATAATAGATAATGAAAAATATGTATTATACAATATTAAAACAACCTTAATTATTAAAAGACTGTCCCACTCTTTTAAAGAATTTAGCGTTACCGATTCAATTTTAAGAAAATTCCATTGGTCATGCGGATTTTTGATTAATTGACATAAAGTTACTTACTTTGGTCGATGTAGAGGAAGGCTACATCTAACATGTCGATTTCACTCAACATCTTTGCAAGAATGGGCCTTGATTGAGACCCAAAGAATTTGAAAAATGGAGTGATACACATAGTTAAGATAAAATGAATTTTCAACCACTAAATTAGTTTACTTGCTTACCATGTACCAAGAATAGTTATAACTATAACTATTAGCTTAAAGGCCCATTATGTCTTATTAATGCTATCATTTTTATTTATCACAAGAGTGGTTTTGGTAACTTGTTACAGTTTCCACAAAATACTCATTTGCCACACACATGAAATATCTTATGTTGGCAGTTAGTATACTTGTAGTGAAAGTATTTTGTATGGAAGTGAAATTTGTTTACATTTTGCTACCCTTACGAAACATTACTGCATGTTCAGTGCTACTTTCTTCAGTTATTAAACACCAAGCATGCTCTTAATAAATAACTATGAAGTTATGTACTTATGTAGCTTAAAACATTATTGCACGTAGCTTAAAACAATTTTGTTGAAAAAAAAATTTGCTGGTGTTTATTTTTTTAAAAGTGTCCGAATTATTTTATATCTTCATTAACATTAATGTAAGTCGACCGTTGCTGAATCATGTACATTAGAACGACTTTATATGTTTTGTCAACAAAACGTTTACCTACAGGCGTTATGTCCCGAATGTTTCTGGCATATTAAATTAATTCTTATTAATGAAAGTTGCTACGTGCAAATGTTGTGTTGACAATGCTTTTTAATATTCATACTATTCATAGATTAACCTCTATAAAGATAGGCGTTGACAAAATACACATGAAATAGGTCTGTAGTAAAGAAAATAATTGTTGTTCGAGTCCTTATGAATTCGATCATTCGTAACTTACAAAAACACAATTAATAAAATAAAATTCAAAAGCTGCCCAGTTGCATAATACTTATTTATTATTTTCATCAATCACTAATTACAATTTTTTGAAACAATTATTAGCGCTCTTTTATTTGCTTTCCGAAAAAAATGTGTATACATGTTCTAAAACAACCACTCATTCGGTTCATTTGAAAACCTTGAAGTTATTATAACTCTGGAAGATTTGAAATACAGTTGCCACCCTTAATGGACTTCATAATCTATAATAAGAATACAGCAACACTGTTTGAGAAAAGACTCTTATAACCAAAGACGTTAATATTTTAATAGTAGTATTTATTGCCATACGTAAAATGGATATATTCATTGCCTTAACTAAGGACGCGTTAAGAGGATATTTTAAAGATATAGCAAATTTCTGTATATTACTGTACATGATAGGAATAAGCAAGCATAACTGTAACAACCAAATTAACCTCATTATATAGGTCGTCGTGATCACTGCACTTTTCGGACAAGTATTCATGAGGTCAGGGTTGCTTTCACCAAATGTCGGTAACAAAATCATGTTAACATACTGGTCAGAAAATTAAGCACAGGTCGTTGATCACATAGGTTATAAAATGTAACAAGTGAAAATTGTAAGTCATATTAACAAAATTGCATATTCAGTCTGAACATTAGTATTTTAAGGCAGTCAAATTTTTTACAAGATACTAATTAATCCCACAAAGTTGCTTAAAAAACGAATTGCATACAAAAATTGTATAACTGAATCGAAACTAAAGAATAATTTTTACATGGCCTTAATTTTCAAATAATGCATGTGCTATTTTTAGAAATCTAAAAATAACTCACGTGTTTACGCCGGAACACACAAACAGCTGGTAAACTGGGTTTTCCATGATGTTTGGACGTGATGACACAAAATTCGTTTAATTCAGTGAAGGACAGGGACATTATGAAAAAGAATGAAATGATTAGGATATTGACCTAATGCAGATAAACTTTTGACCGAAAAAGGGAACGCGAACGTGAATTTGTAAATTTAAGGTTTGTTTGGGAGAACATCAACATGTATGTATATTGTGCGATATGTTGGCATATTTAAATTAATTCAATAATTGTAGTCACATTTTCTTGCATGTGCCTTTCACTGTTTGGAGAGTTGAATTATGCATCACAGTGGTTCGTGCACTGGAAACTCTTTAGTTGAACCTGACCATGCATCCGTTTCGTGATTGAATACATTAGACGATTTCCAGACAAAGTGAGGCAGCAAATTAGCTAGATTTGTATTTATATATAGACATATATCTAATGACTAATGATCGTTCAAAGTTACATACGATGTTATACTCATTAGTGGCTAAATGTATATTAAAAGAAAACAATTCGAACCGAATCATTACAAATACGCCCCGTTGGAACAAAATATAAATTTCGTCAAGAATTTAAAATTTACTCGTAATTATTATAATAATTAAGTTATTCAAAGCCCATTACTGCACTGAGGTGACAATTAAATCTTCTTTTAAAAAAAGTGTCTCTAGCCCTCAACCCATTCAAGAAGTCAACATTTTTCAAATTATTGCAAATTCAACACAAATTCAACACAAACCAGCTCACCTTCCCTTAAATTAATGCCAGTGTTTATTTGGAAACATGATTTAATCTTGTTTTCATTACATTACGCTCAATTTTAACAAAATATTTGGCACTGTCTTACTGCTTTCTAACGCGTGTGTCCCAAAAAGAATGTAATTGCAAGCTTAATTATTTAACAAATATATACGGGGTGTAATTATAATTGAAAAGATGTAATATTTGATGGAGCTTGCCTTAACATTAATTTTGTTAAATGTAGATATGATCTTTCACTGGCTTATACAAACGTGCATGTTTCAAAGGAAAACTGTTACTCATCGCAAAAATCACACTTTCGTGTGTAAACGAAATATTTACTTCTGTTCGTTACGCCTCATAAAAACATATGTGCAGATAAAAAATCCTTCGCTATCACGAGATACAGAAATGCACAAAGCTTGCGATCATTTTTACATTTATCTCTTCAATTCGTACATCTACTACCGAAACAAGACAAATATAAAAGATAATATTTGACAGAAATTTCACAGAAAATTGACAAACCAGCTTTATAATACTATACAGTAGCCAGCTGTTGAAATTGAAAATTGATAAAATTAAATGGCTTTGATATAAGACAAATCAGGTCAATTCGCTGTACTATAATTAGAGGAGACATTGTAAAGTATTTGTATGCCAGCATCCGATATAGATCGTTCCCACTGATCTAGTTATGCACAGACATTTATCTGACCCGATTTCTATTAATTGATGGGTGGAAACCGTGAGGAAACTGGGTGAATATAGTTATAGTTATATCATAGACTACAGACTGACAGATTATTTAGTGACTGGGAGTAAAATCTAGACTGATTATTGGATTTCGTACTCAGTCGCATCTTCTCGGCCTTTTCCGTCTATTCCGGACAAGAACTAACATTATGAACAAAAGTCGAGGCGTACAAGAAATGATTGTCTTTGCATTCGGTTCAGTAAATTTTATCTTTACGCAATGCAGTTCATAAAATATCTAGTTGCGTCTATACAACAAATAAATGCACCTAGATCGAGACATGTCTTTTCTACGAGATATATAGGTTTCTTTAGTTTGCTTAATTTTCTTACTTTTCATCAATCTATGAACACCACTTTTCTTAGGAAGTTATGTAACGCTGTTATATTTGAAAATTTCGAATATATAATATTCTATTACAAAGTAAGTCATTGTTTATGTTAAAGATATTGTCAGAAAATGATTTTCTCAAATATTATATTATTGCAATTATTTTCTTCTTAAAATGTTATCAGAAGATGCCTTATTATAGAAGTTGAATAGTTCATTATCTGTTAATACATGTATTGTAAATTCGGTCGATATTACGTAGTAATTCACATGATTTTTTCCACTTCACCCGATATATTGCTACTTTTGATGACCTTATTTCTAAAATACGATCACCATGTGCTTAAAGCATGGACGTTGATAATTAAGTCAAGAATGTTAGAGATAAACATGGTCGAATTTCGGTTAGCTGTTCCATATGCAATGTACAATGAAACTAGTAAATATTTTGCATTTTGAACTCTGCGCTTGAACTTCTGTTTTGGTTTGTTCCGCACATGTAAACTAGGTTACCTCAATCACGACCAATCAGAATTCGCGGTTTTGTTTTGACGCGTCATGTGATCGTGAGAAATGAATAAAAATATGGAAAACAATAACAACTGTCGTCTGCTATATAAGCCCGCTTCTCTCAGTCAAAATTCATAACCAATCAACTCTTGCAGCTAGTACTTTACTAGTATTTGATATTTTGTTTGTTAAAGAGATTTTATTTAAGTTGTAATAATGAAGGAATTTATGAAATGCAATTACAGTTGGGATGACTACAGCTCCGGTTAGTTAGCTGTTTGCAATTTAATGCAGTTCTAAATTCAACTTTGGAATACATTTATGCATGTTTTTCGGTTTTCTCTTTGGTTATTTTTAAAATCTTATTTGCGAAATTTAAAATAATCAGTTCTGTACTGTAACATGAACAAAAGAGGTTTAATTTTGATGCATTTAATAATTATTATACGACAAAAGCATATTTATTTATTAATTTGCGTTGAACCTAAATTATATTTTGTTATTTTTCTATTTTTCAGATGGTTCTGATTGTTCGGAGGGGAGAAGAGTGTCTGAAAGCCTTGAAGACGAGGTATGAATGAAGTTTTCTTGTGTTATATCAGTGTTTACTACTTGTTGTAAAATCAGCTGTTGTATAAATAGGCCAAGGCCACGCGGAGGAGTAAACAGTTGTTATAGAAGTATATCATCGTGTGGCAATTCTCCAAAAATTGCACTGAATAACAAATTTAAACATAGATTTGTACTTTGTTACACTGTTTTCGTGCTTTTAACAAAATGCCTTTTTTTCGTTTGATTAGAGTTATACTTAGATTGTTAACAATTAATGGGAAAATGTAATTGTGTCTATTTGTGTAACTTCAGGCTGACTTTGGAATATTGTTTGACGTTGACGGCGTTTTAGCACGAGGTTCGACTCCCTTGAGTGCTGCCCAGCAAGCCATTCGGCTGTTAGAGGACGAAGAAGGTCATCTGAAGGTTCCGGTTGCGTTCGTGACAAACGCTTGCAACAGGAGTAACGACAAGGCGGCACAGATACAAAAATGGCTCAACATTCAGGTAGGGGTCTTTGAAAAAGTTCTTTAATCATATTATCTATAATAATATTATTTAGTCTTCAGCTAAAACATATATATTAACGTATAATATCTGCATTAGACTAGCAATTTCAATATTTTCACACAGTTTTCATTTGAAATGTAACTCATTAGTATTATGTAGGGAGAGGGAGCGAATTGCAATGTATTATAATATTATTATAATGTATTATTTAATATCATTGCAGGTTACGCCAGACCAGGTCATACATGCTCCGACGCCGGCAAGACTGTTGACAGAATTTCATGACAAACATGTTCTAGTTGTTGGACAAGAACACCGAGCTGAAATCGCCAAAGAGTATCCTTTCAAATCGAAATATTTATGTTTGAATTTAAAAAGAAAATAAGAAGATATTTTTAAGTAATGAAAAAAAAACATAAAAAAAAACATAAAAAAACCCCCAAAAAAACAACATTTGAATGTTGTCAAAATTTCAAAATTTGAGGAAGTTGTTAAATACTTGTATTGAATTGCGATTTTTCTGGGACAGGTCTTCAGAGTCCTTAAACGTTTGTTAACACTACTTAAAATCTTGGATAATCACGTGTTAATGTTGTTTTACCTGTTTTATTCCTTAACATAATAAAGTATTGGATTTACAAATGTGTGCACTATAGAGGACGTCCAGCTTGCGTATCCCCTGTTGGACATGGTGGATCATGAGCACAGAAACGCTGTGGCAACCGGAAGTCACCCTGACGACACTTCTTTCCCGCCAGTTGAAGGTAAACATTCTATTATTGTATTATTGTTTACTTGTAGATTTGCTTCTATTTACTTTTTAGTAATTACTGAAATTAGTGTTTTCCTTTCGGCTATGTTTCCACTACTGTATAAATCGGTTTGCCTTGTCGTTCTATAAATGAAGTCAAAAAAAATTTATTCCATTTTCATATTTCAATTAAAAACAATTATTTTTAATCCTCAGCTGTTCTCCTCATTGGTGAACCAACACACTGGGAGGGACATCTCCAGCTATTGGTTGACCTGTTACTAACCGAGGGTGTTCCGAACTCAAGCCACACCCCTAAAACCGTTCTGAATGTGAAACAATTGCCTGTGATTGCGTGCAATATGGATCTTGTGTTCATGCATCAGGCCTGTATGCCACGATTTGGTCATGGTGCTTTCTTGGTGTGCTTGGAGGCATTGTATAAGGTATTTAATTTCTTAAATTTTGTTTTAACCGGAAGTTTCTTAATAAAATATTTGTATATTTGTTTTAACTATCTCTTAGATATATTTATATGTTTTATATAAAACACATGAGATAAATTGCGTCTTTATGACAGTAATACTTTTACAATAATTGCAATTTTCTACCTCCGCAAATACACGTTAAATAAATACATGAATCTGGTTCTTACCAGATTTTATTCTGAACTTGACAATGTATCTGATTTTTTTTCTCAGAAAATCACTGGAAAAGATTTGGAATACCGTGCATTGATTGGCAAACCTTGCGAAATTACATACAGATATGCAGAACACGTGATCGGCGATGTTGCTAGAAGACTTGGCATCACTCGACCAATCAGAAAACTCTACTTTGTTGGGTAAGCCGCAATTTTCAATATAGATCTAAAATAGACTTTAATTTTGTAACCTACATAGGCAATGAAAATTATTATGCTCTTCAAAAATCATTGAACAAAAAATCATCTAATGACTGTTATTATTATTTTATTTTTTTTGTAAATTTCTCATAGGATAAAGTCAAACAATTTGTATTTGTAGCTCTATAAATTATGTGCTTTGCTAATCATATAGAATGAGGCAATGTAAAGAAGCAATATATGCTTTAATACATATTTCTTTTACTTCCTTTTACAGAGATAACCCTAACGTTGATATTGTCGGCGCCAACTTGTACGACAGATACCTGAAAAGAGCGCAACAGAATCGTGACAACGGCAACATGTGCGAGGACGACCACAGCGACCATTTGCCAATCAGTAGGTCCATTCCGAAAGGCGTAAACCTGTACCAGCAGACGGTTAGGTCAATGGAAAGTCTTCTCGTCGGCACCGGAGTATATAAACACGAAGAAACAAACGCGCCCGGAAGTCCGAGTGATGACGTGTACCATGGGCATAGAGACATTATGCATGAACCAGAATTGGCAAAACCATCAAGATTTGTGCCAGATGTTTGTCATGGAATTGAACATATTCTCAGACAGGAGAATTTCAATCCATGCGTATTAAGCTCGTGAAAAAACGTGCTAAACAGGAAATGACTGAACTAAACATTCAGGAAGAATGCACAGCAGTGCCGGTCGCTTAACCAAGGCGATCGCGTAATCAGTGCAGGATTGCGGTCACCGCATAGAGACTGCTAGACATTCACATGGTATCTTGCCAGGAGCAGAGAACCGCCGCATAAGACATTTTTACATCAGGCATTCGAAGTGATCTCAGTTTGTAACATAGCCAGTCGTTGCATTTACGCTAAACATTGCAAACATTACTTGCTCTTTGAGCACATTTATAATATATTCATGTTTTGCTACATTGTTTTCAGTTCTAACAAGACATGTACGGGTGTGCAAGGAGTTGCTATCAAACATCTATATGTATGAAGTTCACATGTATATGAAGTGTGGTTCTTCTATGAATGAATGATACCCGGGAAATATTTTTGTCTTAGGTTCCCCTAGCGGGGCCTCCTAGTCTGAAACAAGATCTCATGGTAGAAGTACGCCATCCACATTCCATTTTTATCATTTATAAACATTTATGAACATTTATGACATGTTATTGAATTTATTTCTGTGATATAAAATGATCATCATTTTATATAAAATATATTACTGCATTTATATTTGATATTATTTGAATAAACAACAAAATTAATATGATTGTTGCTTATTGGTTGTAAAAAATTAATTCTGGGCCAATTTGCGTATATAGTTATCCAATTATTGCACCCGTTCACATTTTCCCTTTAATACTTCCTTTGTATTTAACTTTTTGCCAAGAATCTGACGAGACGAACATGAATCAGTTAAGCAAATCTTGAAATGAACTATTGGCCTTGAAGCCAAAATATCCACAAACATCGCGCTTATGAACCTAATGTATAACGATTAAGCCAATGAACTACAATGACATTGGAGCCAAAAAATATCAATAAACATCGAACTTAATAATACCCCAAGTCTATATAATAAACATTGCTGCTCACAGAGATGCAACATTCATTACCTCGGGTCAATTTCCGAATAATTCGGGCACATTATATCAATAGTCGAAAAAACAACAACAACATGTTGTGTGGGATTGCACTTATCTTATTAAAATTAGCTCCTCATTGACGCTACGCATTATCAGATAATTTTATTACAGACTGATAAGAAACGTTAGATAGATAGATAAAATAGATTTTTTCCGTCCAGATCCATAATCCCTTGCGCGAGATTCATTGGCCCTTTCAGTTGATCAATTCCATCATCTTGTTTTACATAACCGAATATGTTCACATTTCTTATCCATTACCGAGAATAATTTACATCTTAATCTTTATGCTTTTTTTTTTTTTTTTACATTTTTGCAACTTTTTTGTCACTCCTATTGATAATTAAAACAAACTTTTAAATAACATGGCAGCATACATATCGGTAAATTTTCTTGTCTAGAACATTGTCTCGGAAAATATCACGAAAATGTGAACTTGCGTGATAATGATACAGATAATGTCGTCTTAGCTTCTCCATATAAATATAGCTCGATCTGTGGCATTATTACATTCAAGAAATAACTTAAGTTGATCTGAACTTTAGTCAGACTGGGATTGCACTGTATTATTTCTGCTAAGAAATGAATACTAAAGAGGTTGACAACCGCAACTGAATGTTTATTTTAAGTTGAACGGAACAGGTTTTTGTGATGTACTGCTATGCACACACAAAAAAGAACTAGTAAACAACATCGTTCCGAAAGAAATAATAGATAAGCATATCTTCGAATCATAACAAGAAAATAGCTTGGTCGTTAAGTGCAGTCGCATGCAACTAGTTAACCGAATACCTTTCCTATTACCCAGCCTTACGGAAGTATTTTATAGGGACCAAAAAGTTGTGATTGCTTTCCAAAGCCTTAAAGCATGGGTCGTACATTTAAGCTTTATATGCACAATAAAGTGGATTGGTCTTTCCATAATTATTTCAAATTGAAATGTATTAAAGCGATTTTCTTATAAAACGCTTCAACGCAGTTTTTGTCATTTGTTCTGTTGATTTTGTTTTTTGTCATTTGTTCTATATATATAGTTTATATATATAGTTTATGTAGTTTATATACTCGGACAGAACTTTATAGGGAGAAATTTACCTTTTTTACGATTATATATATTTATCGCATGGTTTGGAACTTTTCCTTTGTTCTTACTAACCCATTATACTCGATCAGTACACTTCAATGAGCATTTGAAAACTGTGTTGATATATAACAGTACAGTTTTTTCATTGATTCATATAGGAAAAAAAACTCGACTGTTATATATCGGTTAAGTTTTTTTCTCACCTTGTATATGTCAATGCAGTTTTTTTTTCATAGAGGCTCCAATGGGGCAGTGGTAACGACCATTCCCAGTAGCAAAAAAAATGGAATCAATAAAATAAAATAAAATAAATATATAAATACAACGAAAAATATTAACAAAGATAATTAATGAAATGAAACTTACTCTCATTCAATCAAAAGGTACATCCGCTGAATGAATTATTTCAACTGAGATATATTGCCATAAGATTTACAGTGTCTTTGCCATGGCAAAATATGATCGTCATAGGAAAATAAAATCATTTAAAATGGTTAACAATATTCCCGACGTTCGTATGTGTTTACAACAACAATATAGTTTACATAGGATCATATAACCATTTGTTAACCTAATATTTCTAATATCAAGTCAAGTGTTTATATAGCTCAGTGTTTGGCAAGGGATAATAAAGACCTCTTTGAACATTTTTTTTCGTGGTTCTATGTACGTAATCTTTTTATTGCCTATGTACATAAACTTTTTATTGCAACAACATTACCTATGGTAATTTCCACATATTGTTAAGAATTGTGTGTGTGTATGTGTGTGTTTCGTTTGTATTTTTTGTTGTCGTTATTTTGCCATCGGATAAGACTGTAGCTTAAAATAACCAGGACAATCTTTTCTTTAACAAGTTTCTGTATGCATTTTATATTTTTTGCCATGGCAAAATCGCTTACTCGATGCACTTTTAGTCTTTGCTACAGAACCTATATTAAGTTTCTATAAATTATATTCGTGAAGTGTCTTTATACGGTTTCATTTTTCTTTCTATGAACGATTAATTCAAAATTTTGCTATGTCAAGTTTCTAAAACCATACATGTCTTTGCCATGGGATATTATATTACATATTTATACGGTTTTTCGCAGTTATGGAAAAAGAGACCTTATGATAATCAACAAGATTTAATATGCTTCAGAACCAAAACTAAATATCAATATACGGTATAGTTTTTGCCATGGGATAAATATAACCTTTAAATGACAATAACATTCTCTGTGCTAGGTACATGTAACTATAGACTGTTTCGGAAAAATGTAGGATCTGTTTTGCGAAAAATGAAGTGCCAGCATAAATGAGTTTAATTGTAAAAATTAATGAGTACATAACCTTTATTGACCACAATTTCACATGTGTCAAGAGTCTACACACTGTTTAGTTTTAATATGACCAGATAATTCAAATTCTTCCACTGACAACAATATTTTATGCAAAGTTTCTATAAACATACATATTGTAGTATTTTGCTTTGGTAGGATTCAATACTTTTGACACGACTTATTTGGGGAAAATAAACAATCATTTTTTTTTTCACAAGGTTTAGATAAGGTTGTTTTGCAGTTCTACATATGGTTTAAAATTTGCCATGGGATAATTCAGAACCAATATTCAGTATCAATATAAGGCATAAGGAGAATTTCAATACATGTGTGTTAAGCTCATGAAAAACGTGCTGAACAGGAAATGACTGACTTAAACATTCAGGAAGAATGCACAGCAGTGCCTGGTCGCTTAACCAAGGCGATCGCTTAATCAGTACAGGATTGCGGTCACCGCATAGAGACTGCTAGACATTCACATGGTATCTTGCCAGGGACAGAGAACCGTCGCATATGACATTTTTACATCAGGCATTCGAAGTGATCTCAGTTTGTAACATAACCAGTCGTTGCATTTACGCTAGACATTGCAAACATTACGCTCTTTGAGCACATTTATATTCATGTTTTGCTATATTGTTTTCAGTTCTAACAAGACATGTACGGGTGTGCAAGGAGTTGCTATCAAACATTTATATGTATGAAGTTCACATGTATATGAAGTGTGGTTCTTCTATCTATGTATGATACCCGGGAAATATTTTTGTCTTGGGTTCCCCTAGCGGGGCCTCCTAGTCTGATACAAGATCTCATGGTAGAAGTACGCCATCCACATTCCATTTTTATCATTTATAAACATTTATGAACATTTATGACATGTTATTGAATTTATGTCTGTGATATAAAATGATCATCATTTTATATAAAATATATTACTGCATATATATTTGATATTATTTGAATAAACAACAAACAAAAAATATGATTGTTACTTATTGGTTGAAAAAAATATTCAGGGTCAATTTGTATATATACATCTATAGTTATTCAATTATTGTACCCGTTCACATTTCCCCTTTATCACTTCCATTGTATTCAATTTTTTGCCAAGAATCTGGCGAGATGAAATGAATCAGTTAAGCAACTGAACTATTGGCCTTGAAGCTAAAATATCCACAAACATCGCGCTCAAGATTCTAATGTATAACGATTAAGCCAATGAACTATATTGACATTGGAGCCAAAATGTATCAACAAACATCGTACTTAATATTACCTGTAGTTTATGTAATAAACATTGCTGCTTAAAAGGGATGCAAAATCATTTACCTTTGGGCAATTTTGAAATAGTTTGGGCTTACTATTTTATCAACAATCGAGAAAAAAGTGTGGGATTGCAACAATCTAATTAAAACCAGCTCCTCACTGTCGCTACGCATTTTCAGAGACTTATTACAGAGGGATAAGAAACTCTAAAAATAGATTTTTCCCGGCAAGATCCACAATCCCTTGCGCGAGATTCATTGACCCTTGGAGTTGATCAATTCCACTATCTTGTTTCGGGTCACCGAATTTGTTCACATTATCACCCATTACTGAGAATGATTTAAATCTTAAATTTTCTTGTTTTTTATATGCTCTCTTTTACATTTTTGCATTTTTTTGTAACTGCCATTGATAATTCAAACAAACTTTAAATAACATGACAGCATACATATCGTCTAAAACATGGTGTCGGAAAATCTCAGAGGTTGACAACCGCAACTGAATGTTTATTTTAAGTAGAAGGGAACAGGTTTTAGTGATGTACTGCTATGCACACAGAAAAAGAACTAGTAAACAACATCGTTCCGGAAAATAAATAGATAAGCATGTCTTCGAATCATAACAAGAAAACAACTGGTCGTTTGGTGCAGTCGCGTGCAACTTGTTAACCGAATACCTTTCCGATTACCCAGCCTTACCGAAGTATTTTATAGGGACCAAAACGTTGTGATTGCTTTCAAAAGCCTTAAAAGCATGGGTCGTACATTTTAGCTTTATATGCACAATAAAGTGGATTGGTCTACAATGGGCACATTTTCCATAATTATTTCAAATTGAAATGTATCAAAGCGATATTCTTATAAAACGCTTCTTGGCAAAAAATAAGAGTGTTATGTGATTTAGTAAGAACATTTATTATATACTTATAAATGAAATATTGAGAAATATTGATGAAATAAAATGCGTATTTTCATTTTCCGTATTTTCACTGCAAAAATTTATTTTTCACTGCAGTGAAACATATTTTCCGTATTTTCACTGGTGTCTTGCCGGAATCCTTTCTTTTAAATTCTGCCAGTACACAAAATTTAAGGGAAAGTCTTTCATTTTATCGCAAAAAAAGAGAAAAATGTATATAATAAACAGAAACTTCAAGTTTTTTCTATAAATACATGATTTATTTCATCTTGTGGCATGAAAATTACCATATTTCACTCATGAAATATTTATTTTCATACCACTCGATGAAAATAAATCATGTATTTATAGAAAAAACTTGAATATCCTCTATTTATTAGACGGCGCGTGCACGTAGATATGCATTTGTCCGTATAGCAATGGATAAAATATTAGACTTGATTTTGGGCATCTTTTTTTTTTGTTTTAACAAAATCAAATTGTTTTCAAATTTTCCAATAAAAATAGCTTTTCTGATGTACAACATGTCACAGAGCTTTAAAGGATTAAAATGAACGTTTAACTGAAGTGATAGTGTCATGATTGAATATCATATACATTTTATAATTATCTTATTTCATCTACCTATTAAATAACGTGCCAATGAGCCAGTCTATAGCCGATCTTGAGACCCGTCTATAATCTAATGACGGGCAGGGAACAAGAGGTATCACTAAAATATGCAACGGAGTTTATTTTGGCGCTACAGACACAGCGGCAAAACAGGCAAAACGTGTGCGGCATGTTATTCATTTAAATAATTAACATTTAAGTTACAAAACAGATTAACTTAGTGAAAAAAGTACGCTTATTTTAAAACGTATCCCAAATATTTGCAATAGCTTATTTTGAAGGATTCTGTGACCGACGATTGTTCTCTTTTGCCTAGATTTTTTATAACATTTTGTGGTCCAATACCTAGATTATTTTGTTTATTCAAGTAGTTTAATCTTTTATAAATAAGTAAACAATACGTAACAGAGAATTGATCATATATATACAGTATATCAATTTATTCATAACTATTATTTGATATTACAGACATATTTTCGCTATTTGTAAAATAACAGACAGTTCGTCCTCAAAATCATTCGAACATTATGTTATGCAATTCGCACCAATATTTAAATGGACATATTCTTGGCACATATTGTCTTGAATTTATTTTAATTTTACAAATCATTTCAATTTCACTTGTTATCCAATTTATTTTGCTTCGACCAGACGTTTCAATCTTTGTTGCAACAGACAAACATTTCAGAATTTCAGACACATACCAAGAACATGGAGAAAAAATTAATTAGTGCTTCGGATATTCAGCTGTAATATAGAACGATTTTCAATTCTGATTTTGTACATTAGCTGTGACTGTTCACATCATTTGGCGACGTCTTTGATGTGCAGCATCAACATTTAACTTGTTGTTATATTAGGAGCTAGCTATGTTAGTGAAAAGAGAATGTATGGCAATTGGAAACAGATATTTTATTTAAAACGCTCAATACAGTCAAACTTCTTTTCATGGACGCCGCCAGTCTGTACACTCCAATTGAATAAAAGTAAAATGAACAGCACAGAATTGCTATCAATGCTTTGTTTACATAAGGATTGTTAAATGTTAATGCAATGTGAACTGACAAACTCGGTTATACGGGGATGAAAAGACAAACTATATATCTGATATGCAATTCTAGATCTAGTATATCCGTATCCGTAGTTCGTGATCTACATCGTTCCTTATTCAGTCGGTACATATTTTGAAAATTTCCCTTAGAAATATGAAGGGTTTTGTCCAGACTGAAAGATGTCCATGACAATTAAAGACATTTAGCATTGTAAGGGTTAATTGTTTAAAATGAAGCACATGTTTATTGCATTAAGCCCTTTAAAATATAAAAAAACACACCAATCTGATTTTAACAATCTAACTGAAGACTGTCGCAATAATGTGAAGTTAACTCACATAATGTATGAAAGTATGTACTTTTTTATTTCTTCCATTTGATTTCCATTACATTTCCGAAAGCTATTTACCTGTATATGAACTCTATTTACACGACCTTTTCGACGTTTTAACACACACACACGCACGCACGCAAGGACACACACACACACACACACACACACACACATTTCAATTTTATTTTAGCAGCTATAATACATATATATGACAAAAACTCGTTAATGATCTAACACCGTTCACGCAAGCAATGTTATAAAGTCATCCAAGGACCACTTTGCAACATATGTTAATATAACTCGAACCTACAGCGATGTAAATCGAAGTCAATTACCGTCATCATTTTGTCACTTACGTCTATCTCACATCATCGAATAAATAAACAAATGAGCCGCGTCACGACAAAACCAACATTATGGGTTTGCGACCAGCATGGATCCAGACCAGCCTGCGCATCCGCGCAGTCTGATCAGGATCCATGCTGTTCGCTTACCAACCCTATTACAAGTAGAGAAACTGATAGCGAACAACATGGATCCTGATCAGACTGCGCGGATGCGCAGGCTGGTCTGGATCCATGCTGGTCGCAAACCCATTATGTTGGTTTTGTCGTGACGCGGCTCAAATTAAGGGAAGTGTAGCCATTATTTCATATTGTTATATAAAGTTGTAATTTTTAAAGCAGCCAATATATCAAATAGCCATGCTTAAACAATATACTATTTTACAATTGAATATGTTGTCAAAGAACAGACTTTATGAACACAATTCAAAGCAGTTTCACTATTTCACAAATATATGAAAACTTTTTCGAGCATTTCTCGTCATTCCATTTTCCTTTGACTTTAGCATTGCTTTGTGCATATATTATGCCACAATCCTCATCCCCTTTATTGTTAGGCTCGTCAGGTGCCCAGTTTGAAAAATTTCCAAGACTTTGTGTTCCTTCCGATGACGTCCATTGCCAGTCATTTTCCTTCTGCGTGTCATCCAGCCCAATCCAGAAACGAGCTGAAAACATACACCATTGATTATACCATTTGGACAATACATACGGATATTAGCACGTGAACAAAGACATGTGATGTTCAGACTGTCGTTATACATGTATATACAATGGTCTTTAGATAGATTCAGTACATTTTCATCTCATCTAGATATAAATTTGAATTGGATGATAATTGGTCAAAAACACGTCACTAATAATAATAATATCTGTCATATTTTGCGGTTCGGATCGGAATATCCGTCCCGAGGTGACCCGCCCATTTGGCGGTAACTCGGCAAGCCTCGTTACCGCCCATGGGCGGGTGACCGAGGGACGGATATTCCGATCCGAGCCGCAAACATATGTCAGATATTTTTTCTTGCATATTCTACCATATTCCATTTTATATCAAATTCTTTATCTTTATTTTCAATGAATTTATATCATTACAACCGTAACTACTTTCTTACAACAGCGTATGAATTACAACTTCATTCATAACGGTAAAATGACGTCATCCTAACCGTGCCATTATACAGCACGCGACTCATCTGGAACCCCCCATGCCAGATGAAATTTCCGGCATTGGTAAAACTCACGGAAACGCCAGTCTGATATGCAAGAATGTCTTGTGTTGGGTAAGAATATATCTTTCTGAAAACATGCATATCTATATTTATAATACTTCAACCACGAACTTGATCGTCATAGTACATACATTTCTCTCCCTTGATATTAGCCGCTATAAAATCATTCTCTTCTTTGTTTTCTATTCTTACAAGGTCGCCGTGGATCAATCTGCATTCCTCCTGAAAACATAAGATATTTAGATATTTACATCATCACCATCATCACCATGATCGCCACCACCATCATCATCATCTCATCATTATCACCAACATAAACATCATCACCTTATTTATAATTATTATCACATCATAAGTCAATGATGATAATATTCATCGGTCGCCGTTGATATCGCCGTCTTTATATCATTATGCTCATTATCAACATCATGATCATGATCGAAGTATTGATCATTATCAGCATCATCAACATTATCATCAGTATTTGAATGGTCATCATAGTAATTCAGAGTAAAACTAGAACTGTGTCCAAAGGACACGGATGTCCCCACCGACAACATATATATGGTATATCGTGAAAAAATCAACAAAGGGCCATAATTCTGTTAAATTTGGTCGCAGCGAAAATTCTTCCTTTACTACCATCTACACATTAAGGTTGTTCATCCCTGGAAGTTTAAGCAAAATCTGCCATCCGGTTTAAGAGGAGTTGCGTTCACAAGATTTCGGGACGTACGGACAGACGTACGGACAAGTGCAACGCTATAGGCTCCCACTTTGTGGGGGCATAAAAAAATAGTTTAATTATACGAGTCATCGAATGAGTAAAAGGTTACAAATCAGACTATAACTTGTCCAGCTCATGGTCAATTTAAGTAAAAGATTTCCTCCTCATATCAGGCTTAATGTGAAGTATTGAATATGAAGTATAAATGAATATTAATAGCACAGACATTTGTTTCGATACTTCCGTATATATATATATATATATATATTTTTTATTATTTTTATATAAATCTTTCTGAAGATAGGTAACTTAATTAATGCGTGTTTGAACTAAGTCTACTCACTTTAGCGTCTGACCATGTGTTAGGATCTTTGATAAATCGATAACACTTTTTTCCATATTTTTTCCATTTAACGTCCGGGCATGAAACTAAAAGAAATAATATTATACATTTGTAATGAAAGAACATGTTTTTAATTCATTTCTTTACCTGATAATGATAAACTGAATAAATTAATACATCTTAAATACGACAAAAGTGACTAAACAAATTAACACATTTAATTGGCTACAAAGTAACTGAGCAAATTAACACATCTGATTGGCGACATAGTGCAGCAAGTAAACTTGAAAAAATCTTTGAACAGTTTTCTAATATTGTATCAACCGTCATCTAACTAACCATCATCATCATCATCATCATCATCATCAATATCATCATCGTCGTCATCGTCATTATCGTCATCATCGTCGTGTATAGTGAAAATGAATTTTACAGACATGACTGGACGGTCTGGTGCTAGAAGGACGTAAGTGTTACTTGCGCCCTTTTTCATGTTTTTACGCCATTCGAAGCAGAACGTCATCGCGCACCTGCTTCAATATCGAACAATGATTGGTAGGGCGTAAGTGCATCGAGTGCAAAAGGAAAATTTTATAAGGGCGTAACTACACCATAACTACACCGTTCTCAAAATTTATAACAGCCTAAGTAGTAGTTAGGCCCTTTTAAGATTTCGATACGTTAGTTCAAAAAGATAGTCAGATAGTCACACTTACGCACGTTAGGACTTTATGTCACGAGTCAGGGACATGCCTTGACACTTTTTAAGGATACGCATTGTAGATAAGGTGGTCCAAAGTCTATTCCCCGCGGGAAAAGTGCAATTCTATATCTGACAAGAATCATCTGAGTCATCGTCTATGAATTGTCAATTCGTTTGAATCAAAGTTTTATTACTTTGCATGCGATTGAATAACTGAATCACTAGAAATATTGCATTCAAAAAGGCGCTTTGCATGTTTCGTAATATAAAGGCCTCTAGTTGTACCTATCTATAGTCAGATAGGTGTTGGAGGAATGTTCCCTCCCATAGACCGAGAAATTTCCAAAAAAGGAAGCAACGATATTGCATTAAATTGTCTTTATAAACATTCAAAATTTTGTAATGTTAAAGAATGTATATTCTACCCCGATAGCTTCATGTGGCAACAAAGAAACTTGATATTTTCAACAATGAGTCTTTTTGCAGTAAAAACTCTAGAAACTGACAAAATCCACACCACTTCTGTGTTAGAAATCATTCTGAGATGACAGGAGACACCGTGCATGTCAAGCTTGGAAAAGGGTCGAAAAGACCCAGATTACATAATAGGTAATATTAATAATTTCTTCATGGGAAAACTGTTAATTAAACTTATTAAAATAACAGCGAAGGTAAATGTACATTGGATCATTGGACAACACTGTGTGACGGGAATAGACTATGGTATTGTAACATAGAGTTCAGAAACTTTAATGTTAAATACGGTTGACATTGCCTGGTCATAATGCCGTTGATCTAAGGTTGATTGTTAATTACAATAAAATTTGAATCTGTTAGTAGTATTAATAGTGTATTCTTTCAAAGTTTCAAGTGCTTTTAAGCTTGTATTTGGCAGTTTTTATGAAAGTAATTCACATTCCTGAGTACAATATGTATACATGAATACATGATTCGATGATTATATTTCATGTGTATCTTATATATGATCATTCATTCATGCCTCAATATAGAAAAAAAGATTTATTTTGTGTATTTTGTCTGAAAATATATATTTTAGTTTTCAAAAATATTTTCAACTTGTTTCAATCCGTCAATCAGGCGACTGTAACTAGAACCAAATGTTCGACGGTTCAAACCCCGTTTGGGCCAAGGTATTGTTTCCATGGGAGCAAAATCGAGTGTGTTAAGATAAGCTTACAACTTCCAACACAACCGAACTAAAATAAATGTGTATAAACTAAACAGTTAAAATTTGTATCAAAGTTGCCTTTATGTTTTGTATTAGCTGTGGTATGTGCATCATTGTACATTAAGTGGTTATAATGTTCCGTGCTTGACCTTTTAGTGCTTTTGTCTGTGATAGGAATATGTCTGTTGTCCGTCGTTAACCACAAGTTCTTTAGAAATATCTCTTCTTTAATCATAAGTAGGATTTTAATCCAACTTGAAGTACGACCTTTTATATAAATAGTTTCAATGGGCTACGACCTGAATTACTTGATATGTAGCATTACTTTGTCGGTTTTCCACACAGAGAATGTATAATAATTATGTAACATTTAAAAATCAAAAAGTGTTTTATTTATCTGTCATGTAACCTTCACATACAATGTCATAGGTTTAAAGACTAAAGATAGTTTAAAAACGGTCACTTATTACAATTAATTATTGTTATAGATACAACCAATTGTATAATTGTATTGAAAAATTAATGAAAACACTAAAATCTAAAAGGGCATATATGGTAGTTACGCCCTATTTAGCCAAGTCCGAGTAACAATTTTAAAGAGCGAAACTGCTAGTTACGTCTTTTTAGAATTTTTGGCCGATGCACAAAAATGTTAATATTAAAAGGGCACAAAACGGATTTCGTGAATGTTATTAAGGTGATGGGTTATTTAAATTTGAAAAATGTTTTTAAAAAGTCGATATTAGTTGTTCTAAGTGTGTCCCAAATTCTATCATGATTGAAAACGGATCAAAGTCTGCAGACAGTTTTTTTCAATTTCCCGAAACTTGCAAAAATGCATTTACGCACTTATAGCACTAGACTTGTATTTCTTTTATTAACAGTTTAGAACATATAGCAAAATGCAGACAATATAGAGTATATAGTACTTGCGAGAAACGCAGACAATATAGATATATAGTGAAAATATATTTTGCAGACATGTATTTCTTTTATTAACAGTATAGAACATATAGCAAAATGCAGACGATATAGAGTATATAGTACTTGCGAGAAACGCAGACAATATAGATATATAGTGAAAATGAATTTTGCAGACATGTATTTGTTTTATTAACAGAATAGAACATATAGCAAAATGCAGACAATATAGAGTATATAGTACTTGCGAGAAATGCAGACAATATAGATATATAGTGAAATGCAGACGATATAGAGTATATAGTACTTGCGAGAAACGCAGACAGTATAGATTTATAGTGAAAATAAATTTTGCAGACATCTAATTCTTTTATTAACAGTATAGAACATTATGGTAAAATGCAGACGATAGAGAGTATACAGTACTTGCAAGAAACGCAGACAATATAGTGTTTTGATATGATAAATACGTTTTTTAATGATAATTATATGTTAATTTTCAAATCACATTGTTTTTTTTAAATAATTATTTATGCTTTATAACATTGTTTTATGAACTATTTAATGATTACTTTGTAGATGGACTAAGTATAAAAAAAATTAAAAATCAAATAAAAAATATGTTATGTTCTTTAAATTTGTTTGAAATTTACTTTATTGTCCGCATTAAAATTCTGCTCATTAAATATATAATAATAATTTAGCATCATCACCATCGTCGTCGTCGCCGCCATGATGATGATAATGATGATGAGATTAATCGTCATATTTTTTTCTACGCTGTCATGATCTACATTGTCGCAATTATCATCATCACAATCATAAACTGTAACAGCAATAATTATATACTCATTGCCGTTATAACTTACACTGTTTTTGAACAATACTGAATCGCCTGTCCGAAATTTCAAGATATTCTTGAAGTTGGCCTTGCAGCTCTAAAAAAGCCATATTGGACTTTTCTACCTTTTCTAGTTCATTTGCAACCTTAGGTTTCAGTGAAACAATGGCAGTAATATTATTATTATTATTATTTACAATTTCCTTTACATCTGTCACATCACTGTTAATCTTAATTTTCAGCATTGATTTCGTTTTTGTTTGGACTTTTTCATCCACTTTTTCAATTTGGGTTTTCATAGTATTGAAAAATTTCAATCTTTTAGCTTTCTCATTTTTCAAAGTTTGTCGCACGACAGATTCAATTCTTATTTTGTTTTATTTGTTTTAAACAGTATAATTTCATTAATAATAATAATAATAATTATAATAATACATGTAAAAATATTGTCTAGTTATTTGATTAACTTTTTCTTTCTCAAGTTATTATTATTACGTGGATATATTATTATTATTATACTTATTATTATAACTATAATGCAAATGTTACCATAATAATGAATTGATTAACTTGGTAAGTAATTCCAAACAGCCAAACATTCAGTAATTAATCTTTATAAACGCCATAGTCCTGAAAATCGGATGTAAATAATAAAAAAGTGTTACCTTTGATTGAGTCTGTTTCTGAACGTAATTTGTATACTTCTTGTTTTATTTCGAACATTTCTTGTAGAAGATGTTTAATAACTTCTATATCAGTGCAGCTACATTGGCAATCACTCCTTACTATCAAAGCACCAACGATACCCATAATTAAAGAAAATGAAGTGAGATATTGCATTTTCACACGATAAACAAAATATACCAGACAAGTAAAATGTTAGGTATAAAACGTACAAGACTAATGAAAATCAGCGTCTAAATGACGCTTTATTAAATGTGCACAACTTAAAAAGATCTGCAGAGCTTAGTGAAACACTTGACATCACCCTCCAAACAGGAAGCGCATGTTAATTGTTTAGCAATGGAAAGTTAAAAAAAAAACAATGCATCAGATACATGTAAACAAATTTACACAAAATTGTTGAGTCTAGCATTATTTTGAAAAAATAAGGAAAAATTGCGAGGAAGACATGTATTATTGATAAGTTGTTGATAATTCATCGATCCGCGCTTTTATTATTATTATCAATATTATTATTATTATTTATTAATTTGTGTGTGTGTGTGTGTGTGCGTGCGTGCGTGCGCGCGCGTGCGTGCGTGTGCGTTTAATTTGTTTGTATTTTTGTTGTTGTTATTTTGCCATGGGATAAAACTGTAGCTTAAAATAATCCGAAAAATCTCTTCTTTGTCAAGTTTCTGTATGCATTTAATACTTTTTGCCATAGCATAATCGCTAACTCGATAAACATTTTAAACTTGAACATAATAATCTTCAAGGATAACCCTTAAAAATAACCAGACAGACCTTGACCTTCACTTATTAATGACCTTGACTTTGAAGGTCAAATTATTGAAATTTTCATTGTTTTAGTTGTAACTGGCTGTAACTTTGCTATTATTGAAGGGATCAACTTCATATTATAACAGAACATTCTTAAGGACAAGACCTTGTTGTTTATCAAACCCAAATTGATTTAGTCTTTGCCATGGAAACTAGTACATAACCTTTATTGACCACAATTTTACATGTGTCAAGAGTCTACACACTGTTTAGTTTTGATGTGACCAGATAATTCAAATTCTTCCACTGACAACAATTTTTTTATGCAAAGTTTCTATAAACATTGTAGATTTTTTTTGCTATGGTAGGATTTAATACTTTTGACACAACTCATTTGGGGAAAATAGGAAAATAGACCTGGCAAGACTTTCTTCACAAGATTTAACATAAGGTTGTTATGCGGTTCTACATATGGTTTAAAATTTGCCATGGTATAGTTCACAACCAATATTTAGTATTAATATATGGTACAGTTTTTGCCATGGGATAAAATATAAACTTTTAATGACAACAATATTCTTTGTGTACCTATAAAATGATTTGGGAAAAATGAAGGATCTGTTTTTGGAGAAAGGAAGTGCCAGCATAACTTTGCTTAATTGTAAAAATTATATCCAATTGGAAATACTTTAGCATCATGACAATTTTTTTTGCCATGAGAATAAATGCAGACCCTTCATTGACCACAATTTTATATGTGTCAAGAGTCTACCTACGGTTTAGTTTTTGATTTGCCGGTAAATTCGAATCTTGCACTGACAACAATGTACTCTATGTCAAGTTTCTATAAACAGTAGTTTTTGCCATGGGATGATTTAATACTTTTTATACGCTTACGCGTAATAGTCGCAATGGGAAAATACAGATCCAACCTAATTTAAGATACGTACGGCTATTTCACATTAAAAGCTGACCTTTATATGACAACTTGTCAATGATGCATTGGAATATTGTATAGTATTTGCCATTAGATTAAAGAGAACTTCCCTTATGATATAATTGTCTAAGAAATTATAACAAAACACAAGTATCAAATTCATTGTTTAAATCATTTATTTTGGCGCTTAAGCTTTTAATACCCAAATATATATGATATCAAATATAACATACAACATTACATAACATTACATAACATTAATAATTTTCATCAACCCAAAAGATACAGCTTTTATTTCTTAACAAAGAACAAGATTTCAATTCAATTTGAAAAAAAAAATAACTTGAAAAAAAATACATGTAAATGGCAACAGTATTCTATGTAATATCACGTCCATATTATCTATCTATATATGTATACTTTTTGCCATTAAAAGCTATAGAACAAACACATTACTTTTACAAGTTTCTGAATAAAATGTTGCATTTAAAATGATTATAAATGCTGTCATAGTTTAGCTAAGTTTATTTGCGTATTTATTTAGCTTTGAATAATATGTTTTTCAACGTAATACTAGTATATAAATAAATAAATGATTTCATGTGCAACTTTTACATATTTCAAAATAGTTCGCCAAAAACTGAACAGAGTTACTCATTTGTCATCATTTGGCATGTTGCAAATGCCGATCGATCAAGGTGTTGTGATTTGAAATAATTTAAATAGAAGAATTGCGGTCCTTCAATTTTTTATATGTAATCTTAGAGAAATGTTCTTTTGCCTGTGCAAACGATAATATTTTCATGTCAAGGTTTCTGTGCTTTGATCTTTCTCATCGAAATGCTGGCACTTTGTTTTACATGTGCCATATATATTTGTAATAGATACAGCTTATTCTCCTAATTATAACTCCTCTATGGGATTGTAGGAATTTTTTCACCAATTGCCGTAGCTGGTCATACAGCCCCGACTTTGTGAATTAATCGGCCCATTGCTGTTGTTGTTTTTCATTTATTTTTCAATATTTAAGTAATATATGAATACTCTCCTGTACATAAGGCCTTCAACATTTTTAAGAGATTTCAACCATGCGTTTAGCGGCTAGCAGATACGCGTAAAGTGACTTCCGCGTATTTGTTTATTTTCCGTTCTCTGTCATGCACTCTAAAACTTTTGGCATAAATCGTTTAATTTAATTGATAAAGTGTGCTCCTAATGCGAATGTCTTCTGTGTACTTATATACAATTAATGTGTTATAATACTTGAAATACATAGAATTTTGTTTTAAATTTTTAAATGTAGGCAACATTTTCAATAATGGGATCTGGGCCATGCCCTCGGGCCCTAGCTAAAATTATAATTTGCAGGTGCGTTTTGGCGTATATGAAGTTTAATAAAGATGATTCTAGAATTGCTAGCCAGTCTTTCCATTATTTTTGTCGGTTATTTTATTCCAACAAATATGTTTCCTCCCAAAACGTACCGTTGATGTTATTTTGTGTACTTTTCCGTTAGAAATACTACCGTAATACTTGAATATTTTATTGAAATTAAGATCAAAGCTAAAATAACAAACTATATGTTTCATAAAGTGTGACTATCTTATTGTTAATTTTTCAGCTTTTCTTTAAAAATGAATGTCCAGCCAACAATTAACAGTTATATACTGACAAATTATCAAGACCTAATTAACATAGATACTACAGGTACGTGACAGCTGGCTGTACCTCTGTAACTTTGATTATAACTGGCAGGTTACAGTAGGCTTTTACTGTTTTTACTGACTGTACACCAATGACCATTGTCTCCGATTTATTGGCTTGCAGCGCCATTTCATTTGGAAAACCTGTTCCGGTTAGGTGGTTTTCTGCTTACATTTATAAGTGCATGATTGAACGGGAAACCAGCTGAAATTGTGCCAATCGCAACTTTTCGGCCTTTTCCGTCACTCTTCGGATTAATGATAATAGCCGATGTACTTCCGATTGCAATCGTGACAATTCGGGCGATTCTGTCATACTGCGGAATCAGACGAAGTAATATTACGGAAATCTAAGCTATTTTAGTTACTTCGGTAATCCCAGTTTGTTTATATAAATAGGATTCGTATTTTTACTTGATTTATTGATTTAAACCGTAATAAATTATAAACGAAATTGTTCCGTTTCAATTCTTTTTCAAGACGCAAAAGTTAGTTTCTTTTATAATTGTTTCTTGTCTGTATTAGTTTTACACAATAGAGGATGTTGACTGTAGTAGTATTCCGTCTTCAAAAGGTGGTCCAAATCACACAGTGCATGATCGAGTTATATTTAGATCTACTGAACTTGGTGAGGTAATCTAAAAATAGCCCATGCATATCATTAACCTTACCACGTGATGATTTATAGATAGCGCAATGAGCGCATCGTATCTGGGAACATGCTTATTAATTAAATGAAATGTGCACACTTGTTTCCTTTCAGTATGATAGATCTTCACGTTAGTATTTTTACGATTGATTATTTTCTTTATTAGTTTTATACAATAGAGAATAGATTTCAAATTGTTTTGACAAAAATATTCGTTTTTACAAAAATAAAAACAAATAAATATGTTGGGATGAAGGCACAACTGTGCAAGCCTTTCCTTTTAAAAGGAAACTTTATTTTTATGTTATGTTTATTCGAGGTGAAATTTATGTAAGGCCACGGCTTTGATTGAATTAAAAAAAATATATCAAAACTCCCCGTAGCAATTACTTCCCCTGATGAGTACAAAACCGTGAATTGCGTTCGCGATTTAGACCGTGCCATTAATTCCGGTAATTTCACAATCTGACAATTACTTCTTTTTATTGAATATCTTTTAACAGAACTGGTAAAAGGCGCTAAGGGTAATGTTTTGAAACTGTCATATAATTTTGACGTACGAAAAAAAATCTTTTGGTTTCTATGAAATAAATAGTTATTATTTTTTTCTCTTTCACTTTTTGTTTATTTGCCCTCAAAATATTTCGACCCAACGTTGTCGTGAAGATACCTGCATGTAGATCACCAGTTCTGCTATTCTAAACGTTTGGATTTCAAGTTATGCATTAAATTTTTAGTTCATACAAATTTCCTTTGACAATTTTGAAAAGAAATCTTTGTATAAAGGATAATATCATTAATGGAAGATAATTATATAGATAAAGATTTATAGGGACCAGATTCCTCATCAAAATGTCTGCAGGCCCATCAGCAGCATGCGTGGGCGACGCCAGGCCTTAAATAATGCCCACGGACACCATACTTGGTATTAAACACCCTAAGCCAACCATTTCCTGATTTGCAAGATTTTTTTACTCCACTATGTTATCTCTAGAAGTAGAATGTTGATTTTCGTCCAGCACACTAACAGGCACAAGTCAAGGAACACTTCCATTGTCATTATTTTCATAAAAATCAATTCCTAACTAATTATATTTAATTCTTTCTAATCAATTTTTGCATTTATTACAAATACACAAAAGTAACGCGCTGTAGAAAAAGTGATCCTTAGCAAATTTTGAGTAGTGTATCATTAAAGGTAATAACAAGACAATGTAATAATTACTTCATATATTTTCTTTTCAGGTGAATCATGAGCTCTGATTGGCAAGGACGCTGGTGTCATGTACAGAAATTTCTTGAAAGAACAGGACCTTTTGCTCACCCTGACTTTGAGCCAAGCACTGAAGTGAGCAATATTTTTTCTATTTTGAAAACAGTTATATTAATTCTTTAATTAATGTGTTGATATTCCTCATGCAGGAGCGGAAATCAGCCTACTATTGATCTTCTTTCTACCTCATAATCTGGGCACTGTAGATTAGAATAGAAAAGAATGGTTTAGTGATGTGTCCTGTCCCACTTAATACCGTCATCGATAGGAATGATATCAATGTATCAATAATATTTTTCTGTCGATCAATATTCATTTTGACTTAATAATTGAATGTCTAGATATTATGAAAATTCACCTAAAATATATGCAGAAGTATATTTTATAGCGGTGATGACAGAAACTGGTCAGCTGAATTCTTGCAAAGGGCATTTATAAACAAGACATATGTATGAAAAGAACATATTTTTTACTGAAAGCATTTGAACAGGTATAATAAAAGATTACAGAAAGTTAGTTCAGTAATTATCGATATATCGGTATATCATCGATATTTGTCGTTTGTCGTCAACGATATTGATATATCGTTGATTTGCTGTACGCTTAATCAATGACAGCTCTAGTTTTATGTGTATTTAGCCAAGAATTGACTGTCTCCGTAGAATGGGCCAAGTTTTGCCTGATCAAACTTACATTATTCAAAATTTTGACTTGAGAAAATGCAAATGATTGACTTGTCAAAAATATGTTTGCATTAATTTTGACAGATTGTTAGGTTAACCATTGTAGAAGCTGTGATAGAAATTTTATTGACTTTCAGACTCTTGGTTTCTTACAAGAAACATGCAAATTACTTATCATAGGAGCAGGAGGTCTTGGATGTGAACTTCTAAAAGATCTGGTATGTTTATGTTTTAATAATTTGAAAAAAAATTATCATTATTTAAAAAAAAAATAAAGTGTCGATTGTCTGTTTTTAGCTCATCTGTTCGATGTCACACTAAGGTTAAGTTTTCGCATGCAAGTGAGTATCTTCAAAACTACCAATGAGAATAGGTTTAAACTTCACACACTTGTTCTCTGTAATTATCTAACATAATGGATACAGGACCAATAACTCTAGTTAGATATTTACAGAGTCAAGCCCCTTTTCTTACTGTCAAGTACTGAGAAAAGTAGAGTGTGCTGTCTTATGGACAGCACCTGTTATTGCTCTAACTTTTTTAGAAAAAGTCATTCAATTCTCTGTTTATTTATGGTAATAAAATAATCATAGTACAATGATGCTAATATAGTCCAGCCAGTAGCAATTAAAAAGTTGTCTTTGGCAATGTTGATGGCTAAGATAAATCATAATATAGTTTTGCACTGTGATTGGACAGAAGAGAAGCCAAAATATTAGCAGAAAGATGGAAAAAGGTCATTGTTTGAAGCAAGAATGGCTTGTCTATATATGAAATTTGGAAACCAAAATGCAGGCAATTAGAGACATACTATCATAGTAAGTATGGTGACTTATAGATCAAGTTTGGTGTATTTTATATGAAGTTTGTATTATTTCAGGCTTTACTTGGTTTCAAGAATATAGACATCATTGACATGGACACAATTGATGTATCTAATCTGAATAGGCAGTTCTTATTTAGGTAAATATGTTATAACATTAATGGTCATAGACAGTGATATGATGGCTAGGTTTGTAAATAAATATATTAAACTTGAGCATTGTTTCTGTTGACAGCTTGTTTTAAAGATAAAATAATAATAAATGCATGAATATATTGTTTATGTTAATAGCAACTGCATGGCAAACTGATTAATTGAAATACTATGACTGTAAAACAAGTTATGTTTGGATAATTCCATGTTTATTCTTGCAATATTCTTGCAATCTTGATAAAACTTTTAAATTTTATTTACGATTGTTGTGTATTATGTAAGCTAAAGAGTTTATTTTCTATTATATACAATTGTATATATTTTAGAGCGAAGGACGTAGGAAGACCAAAAGCTGAAGTTGCAGCAGATTTTATCAATACACGAATACCAGGGGCAAACGTCACACCGTATCCATTTTCTTTTTAATTATTGTATTTTCTCCACCCCCCCCCCCCCCCATTATATTTAATTTTGGAAACTTGCCCTTAAGATGAAATGTAATGATAAATATTTGTGTACATGGGTTGGCAAAGCAGATAGCATGACCATGTTCTGATTTGTATATTGTGGACTATGGCTTCACAGTCTAACAAAACCAATTTAATGGAAATTCTGAAAATGAGATACTCCTTGAGAGGAATGAACACCAAGAAAGTGAATATAGACTGCTTAGTTGAATTGATTCAGACAATGAAAAATTAAAACATCTTTCATCTCGCCTAGTAATGACTTATTCTATCATTTACATGTAGCTTGGTTATATTGGTATAAATGTTGTTTAAGTTATAACTCCTTGACTTGGTGTATCAGTCATTATGCCAAAATACAAGATTATGATGAGTCATTCTACAGAGGTGAGTTGTTGTTTTATTGATTTAAATGTTTGAATATTATTATTTGAACATTCTTGTTTGTCCTGTTTTCTCTGACTGTGTGGTTTAACAGACCACTTCCTTTAGAAACATTGATCTTTCATGTAATGAAGCTTGGTTTAGGAAAGTTGGTGAATGCCGTTTTGTACCTTTAATAATGCATGAAGAAGCACTTGGGATTTTCCACCTATGATAGTAGAATAATAGTGCCAATCTGACTTTAAACCTACTAAAGCAATACATATAGATTCAGTTTTGCGGAATAGTAAGATAATTGAAATGTATCATTCTAAAAAAATGATAGATGTGATTGATTAAGCTCTTTTTTTTTGCAATAAGTTTTAGAATAAGTTTTAGAAAAGGCATACCGTGTGGTATAAATATTGAGTATAAAGTATACATTCAAAGTTACATGCCTTATTATAATCTATTATAAAAAAGGATAAATTATATATTTTCAAAATTAATACAAGGACAAGGAATTTAAAGCAGCACGCCTCCAGATAATTACATGTACATGCTAATTTTCATGAAAATTTTGAAACTGTATTTGAATGTATGATATTGTAAAATAATCAAAAAGAAGCAATTTACAAATTATCAATGTTTTTTACAACCCAAGTAAATTACCAAAAAATTGTAAAAATATGCATAAATAGTCATTACTGTGTTAGTAACGCAGGAGAAATATAGTTGTAAATACTGAAAAAAAATCATTCATTAATTGCACATAACATGTAAAATATTACTTGAATCTGGAATCATTTAATTTATTTTCCTAAAATCTTAGTACATATTTCTCAAATTTGATTTTATTGAAATAGTTTGACTCATTTGGAGGTATGCAGCTTTAAGTTTCTTACGAGTACAATTTCTAATTTCAGGTTTTCATATAGTTGTGTGTGGTTTAGATTCTATTGTAGCCAGAAGATGGATCAATGGAATGTTGGTATGTATATATAGGAACCTACATGAGTTATTATATCATGCCGACTTAATATATTAACTCTTAACCTACTGAATTTTTTAAATGGACTTGACCACCTTCTGTTTTTGGAATTTTGCATTATCAATGTAGGGATATCATGATGAAAAATTAAATTTAGTTAGCCAACTGTATGGAGTCTGGCCAGACTGCACGAATGTGTACAATCGCCTGGCTCTATACTGGTGGCAAAGGCTGATAACTTTCGATTCCAACAGGTAAAGGGAAATCACTATAAGTTATAAGTAAACCAGTTTGTTTTCCTTAAGAAAAAATATGATTGTTTTTATGTGTAATGCAGATATTGTTTTGTTAAAAAGGTAAGCATATAAAAGTATGAGGATATTTCTGTATAGAAGGTAAGCATGTTACAAGGTAAGCATGTTACAGTTCACAAGGTAAGCTTTTTACAGTATGGGGATGTTATTTGTTAACAAGGTAAGCATGTTACAGTATGGGGATGCTATTTGTTCATGAGGTAACCTTTATACAGTATGGGGTGTTATTTGTTTACAAGGTAAGCATTTTACATTATGGGGAAGTTATTTGTTCACAAGGTAAGCTTTATACAGTATGGGGAAGTTATTTGTTCACAAGGTAAGCTTTTGACAGTATGTTGATATTATTTGTTCAGAAGGGAAGTTTTTATACAGTATGGGGAAGTTATTTGTTTACCAGGTAAGCATGTTACAGTATGGGGATGTTATTTATTTTCCAGGTAAGCATGTTATAATATGGGGATGTTATTTGTTTTCCAGGTAAGCATGTAACAATATGGGGATGTTATTTGTTTTCCAGGTAAGCATGTTACACTATGGGGATGTTATTTGTTTTCCAGGTAAGCATGTTACAGTATGGGGATGTTATTTGTTTACCAGGTAAGCATGTTACAGTATGGGGATGTTATTTATTTTCCAGGTAAGCATGTTACAATATGGGGATGTTATTTATTTTCCAGGTAAGCATGTTACAATATGGGGATGTTATTTGTTTTCCAGGTAAGCATGTTACAATATGGGGATGTTATTTGTTTTCCAGGTAAGCATGTTACAATATGGGGATGTTATTTGTTTTCCAGGTAAGCATGTTACAGTATGGGGATGTTATTTGTTTTCCAGGTAAGCATGTTATAATATGGGGATGTTATTTATTTTCCAGGTAAGCATGTTACAATATGGGGATGTTATTTGTTTTCCAGGTAAGCATGTTACAGTATTGGGATCTTATTTATTTTCCAGGTAAGCATGTTACAATATGGGGATGTTATTTGTTTTCCAGGTAAGCATGTTACAATATGGGGATGTTATTTGTTTTCCAGGTAAGCATGTTACAATATGGGGATGTTATTTGTTTTCCAGGTAAGCATGTTACAATATGGGGATGTTATTTGTTTTCCAGGTAAGCATGTTACAGTATTGGGATCTTATTTATTTTCCAGGTAAGCATGTTACAGTATGAAGATGTTATTTATTTTCCAGGTAAGCATGTTACAATATGGGGATGTTATTTGTTTTCCAGGTAAGCATGTTACAATATGGGGATGTTATTTGTTTTCCAGGTAAGCATGTTACAGTATTGGGATCTTATTTATTTTCCAGGTAAGCATGTTACAGTATTGGGATCTTATTTATTTTCCAGGTAAGCATGTTACAGTATGAAGATGGAGAACTTCAACAAGAGAGTCTTATACCGATGGTTGACGGAGGTACAGAGGGATTTAAAGGCAACGCACGTGTAATACTGCCAGGAATGACAGCTTGTGTAGAATGTACGCTTGATTTATATCCACCTCAGGTAATGTGCTTGCACAATGCTTTATTTCAACTATGCAATATCAAAAGTGTAATCTTGATCATAAGAAGTTAGTCTGGACCTGTAATATAATGCTTGACAAGAATTTAATTTATGATATGCATATGTCCGTCATGTAAAACCGTCAATGAATTTTTGATTTTCATAACTTTATGATATGAAAAAGTATTATATCCAGTTTAAACTAAGCTTGTATGGTTGAATAGTCAGGTCTGCTGGCTTAGTATCATATGTTTGCCAATGCTATCTGTTTGAATGCAGCTAGGAATAATGTATTATTTTCGAGCCGCGCAAGCACCTTTGGATTCTTGCATGTGAGAAAGCTATCCAGCTAGCTTATGGAATGTCGGTGGTTCTTCTCTGGTGCCTATTTGTGCATGTAATGCACAGAAGGGGATGTGAGGTCTTCCTCAATTACTGAAGCTGGAAAGTCGCCATATAACCTATACTGTTTTGGTGCAATTTTAAACCCAACAAAAAAAATGTATTATTTTATGTGAGAAAACTTGTCTTGTAAACACGAAGAATATCAGTGGTTCTTCTTGGACCATGTACTGTAAATGGAATAAAGCCTGTAAATGGATTAAAGCATGGATTAGCAATACTCTTCTAGCACCATTTAAAGTGTTAAGTTGTTACTTGACCTTGAAAAACAAGTATGAAAGAACATGAAATAACATATTATGAAAATATTTTCTGCCTTCCCCTTAAATATCAATAAGGCTGATGGGGTATGCTCCCTTGATACTATATTTAGGAAGTAAGATGTTAAGATATTTTTGAGTAACAAGTATCGAAATTAATTAATTATAAATTCAGTTCTGATCAGTTATGGTTTTGGTCAGTGTAGTTTTTTCTAGGTACATGTATTAAATGAGAGAACTCTAAAATATGTTTAACAAGGTCCAAATAATTTACAAGTATATTAGTTTTTGGCATGGCGGCTTAACTAAGTGATTTATATGTCAGCCAAATAATTTAAGGATTGCTGGTCATATGGGTTCAAACCCCATTAGAGGCAAGCCGTTTCCTTGAGCAAGAAATTTTACCCTCGTTGCATAGTACTAGTTGGTTCCAGTAAGGATTTAAATGTAGTTGATAAAATTTATCTTAGTTGATTGTGTTGGAAGCTATAAGCTTATTGAAACACTCTCAAATCTGTTCCTGGAACAAACCAGTACTCAGCAATGAATTGTAAAGTTCCTTGCTCATGGAAACAATGGCTTGCCAATCACGGGGTTTAAACCCACACTGTCAGCAATCCTAGGATAACTAGTCTGATGTGTTAACCACCCAGCCACAGGAAGGATTTGAGAGCATTTCAATATGCTTATAACAAAAAATACAAACTAAAACAATTTTGTTTAAACTATTTAAGTCATTTTAGACATTATGCTGAAAAAGAAAACAATGAAATTATCTGAATTTAACAAAATAGACCATCCCTGAACCAGTTTATAGTAGAACAACTGGCTCTTGAAATAATCTTACCCACTAATTTAAAGATGATGTTATCTAATTGTATACGATTTTACTTCATTTGTTCTTCCAGGTTAATTTCCCACTATGTACTATAGCCCACACCCCAAGATTACCTGAACATTGTATAGAATATGTTAGAATATTACTGTGGCCAAAGGAAGAACCATTTGGAGGTAAGCTGAAAAAAAAGTAATTAGGGGAGATATTGTGTCACTGTAACTTTTTCATATTTTAGTTTGAAATTATTTATATAGATACTATATATGTAGTGTTTGTTAAAATGTATAAACTATATTTTTTTGAAAAAAGACAAACTAGATAATAATATTATGTCATGTATGTGATTCATATATTTGACAGTAAGTCCTAGAAAAGGGGCTTATTTTAAAAAAAAATTCATAGTTTAGTATTCATGTTAATTCTTTTAGATGAAGAACTTTTAGTAACACCATTTATGTGCAAATTTGTATCATTTACTATTCATATACTGTACTCAACTTTTTCACTTGTGTATTCATATACTGTACTTAACTTTTGACTTGTGATCAAGTCACTTAGTTTGAAATACAGGTTGTTAAATAAGGAATGATAGTAAATACCATTTTAATGTAATCATTGAAATATTAGAGGCCTCTGCGGCCAAGTGGGTAATAACTCGCTTCTCTCTGCTGTGGGTTCCAATCCCGCCAAAGCATTTTGATTCTTTCATATGAGGAAACTAAGTACTCCGCTAGCTTACAGAAATTTGGTCTTCCATCTTGTGCTTGAAATGAGGCATGGCCCTGCACCTTAGGTTTTCCCTCACCAATAAAGCTGGAAGGTCGTCAAATGACCTTTACAGTGTCAGTGTAATTTAAAATAAAAGCAAAAAAGTATGTATATAAAGATATTGAATGATTAGTTTTGTGAACAAGTTTGATGGGTAATTTAGCCAGAGCAGATGTGATACTTTGCAATCCTACATCAAACTTGATATAAGTTGCGTATACACCCTGTGATAAAGTAATATCAATTTAATTTTGATCATTATCAGAGGGGGTGGCTATAGACGGAGATGACCCAAAACATATAAAATGGATCATGGAAAAATCTGTAGAAAGAGCAAATGAGTTTAATATTACTGGTATTACATACAGACTTACTCAAGGTAAAATATTTACATTTATTTCTTTCATTTGATATCTTAATTTGATATTTTAATGCTTAAAATATGTGGCATGGAAGTAGATATATATTATGTTTTGATATTGTTCATGTTTGTTTAAAAGTGGAGGCACGTTTTTGCTTAAACTGTCGGCACTACATGTATATACATTTCATTGTATATGACAATAAGAGTAGATGAAAACAATGTGATTGTGCAGGTTAAGAAATTTTTAATAGTGTATTTTGATGCTTTTATCATAACGCCCTTATCCTGCTGAATTTGTGTATGGTAACTGCCAAACTTTGAATTAATATGGATCAGTCTGATTGGAGTTTTAGACAGAGATTTCAATATCAAAATTTAAAATTTTAGCTAACACCAGTATAGAGCTCGGTCAGACTGTAAAGATATGCAGGATTGTCTAGCTCTATACTGCTGGCAAAGGCTGATATTCTTTTGCCTCCAGTGGGTTAAGGGTTTAAAGTGGTGTTATTATTATCAGCATAGTTGTACAACTTAAGTACATGTAAATAGTCTATTATTCTGCTATAATAAAGTTATTTGAGCACTTACTTGAAGAGCATGATTGATAACTATAATGTGTTGAAATCTTTGTACTTAAGTGTTGAAAAAATAAGAACAATTTTGTCATAAATATATTCAGGTGTTGTAAAGAGAATTATACCAGCAGTAGCATCAACTAATGCTGTCATTGCAGGTAAGTGGTAGATCCCTTAAATATTTTAAACCGTATTTTAATAAGTTATTAGTCCCCTACCGGTTTAACCGGAGGGGACTTTAGGTTTACCCTCCGTCCGTCTGTCTGCCTGTCCGTCTGTCTGTCAGTCCGTCAGTCCGTCCGTCCACAAAACTGGATCCCGCGATAACGCAAAAAGTACTGAAAATATTTTTATGAAACTTGATATATGGATAGATGGCAGTATGGAGATTATGCACGTCTTTTTTTTTCTTCCTATGTTGAAAATTCTGGTTGCTATGGAAACAAATAGTCTGAAAATATGGCAAATTTAACACATAAACTGGATCCAGTGATAACTCAAAAAGTACTGAAAATATTTTTATGAAACTTGAAATATGGGTAGATGGCAGTCTGGAGATTATGCACATCTTTTTCTTTTCTTCCTATGTTGAAAATTCTGGTTGCTATGGCAACAAATAGCCTGAATTTCAAGATTTCTGATTTAAATTTTTCAGCTTTTTCACTATATGTTCTTTATTTCTTAAGGTGTTTACTTCAAACTTTAAATATAAGTTTCTGGTCATCAACCACATCATATGTGACAAGGTTTATAACTCTAGCACAAAAAATATCAGTATTACCTCCCTTGAACTTAGATTTTTTAGGGGAAAAAATGTTGTCTTTTTTAAATAACTTCTTTATTTCCTAATGTATCTACTTCAAACTTCATATATATGTTTCTTATTATCACTCGACATTTTTGAGAAGGTTAAATACTCTAGCAAGACTATTTCCAGAATTATGTCCCCCTTGAACTTAGATTTTTTTCGAGAAACTGGTATTTTCACTCCAACTTCTTCATTCCTTATAGGATTTACTTTAAAATCCCACATCGTAATAATATGACAAGGTTGTATAAACATAATTTCCTTACTAAGCATGGAAACTTAACACATTACTGTGATATAGACAAACTTATTAGTCCCCTACCGGTTTACCGGAGGGGACTTTAGGTTTACCCTCGTCCGTCCGTCTGTCCGTCCGTCAGTCCGTCCGTCCACAAAACTGGATCCCGCGATAACTTGAAAAGTACTGAAAATATTTTTATGAAACTTGATATATGGATAGATGGCAGTATGGAGATTATGCACGTCTTTTTCTTTTCTTCCTATGTTGAAAATTCTGGTTGCTATGGCAACAAATAGGCTGAAAATATGGCAAATTTTACACATAAACTGGATCCAGTGATAACGCAAAAAGTACTGGAAATATTTTTATGAAACTTGATATATGGATAGATGGTAGTATGGAGATTATGCACGTCTTTTTCTTTTCTTCCTATGTTGAAAATTCTGGTTGCTATAGCAACAAATAGACTGAAAATATGGCAATTTTTACACATAAACTGGATCCAGTGTTAACGCAAAAAGTAATAGAAATATTTTTATGAAACTTGTAATATGTGTAGATGGCAGTCTGGAGATTATACACATCTTTTTCTTTTCTTCCTATGTTGAAAATTCTGTCTGCTATGGCAACACATAGACTGAAAATATGGTAAATTTTACACATAAACTGAATCCAGTGATAACTCAAAAAGTACTGGAAATATTTTTATGAAACTTGACATGTGGGTAGATGGCAGTCTTGAGATTATGCATGTCTTATCTGTTCTTCCTATTTTGAAATATTTTTATGAAACTTGACATGTGGGTAGATGGCAGTCTTGAGATTATGCATGTCTTATCTGTTCTTCCTATTTTGAAATATTTTTATGAAACTTGACATGTGGGTAGATGGCAGTCTTGAGATTATGCATGTCTTATCTGTTCTTCCTATTTTGAAATATTTTTATGAAACTTGACATGTGGGTAGATGGCAGTCTTGAGATTATGCATGTCTTATCTGTTCTTCCTATTTTGAAAAATATTGGTTGCCTTGGCAACAAATAGGCTTAAAACATGGCAAATATAACAATATTTGTGATTAGTCAAAAAGAGCTGAAACTTTTTATGAAATTGCATCTTAAATTCCAGAGTTATCTCCTCTTTAAGAATTTTGCTTTTTAAAATGTTATATTTTGGTAACAGGGATGTTTCAAATATTAACTTTAGAGTGTCCTTCAGTCCGTCTGTCTGTCTGTTCATAAAAACTTTTTCCTGTGATCACTTTTAAAGAACATTTCCAACAAATTTACTTAAAATAGAGAAAAATTTACACATTAGTGAATGGCCAATGGCCCTTCAGAATGCTGATGGGGTTCTATCCGGTAGGGGACTTATGGATTGCTTGCAATACTATGATAACTGCTTGTTATTTCTGCAAGATTCAATTGACTTTGAGTCTCTGTGTATTTAAATTAAAACTTTTCATGATGAGATAAAGTTAGGTACCTGGTTAATTTTATATGATACTGTATGTGTAGAAATATTCGCGGGCTTCAAATTTTCGCGATTTCCGCGGTGACATTAGATCCTCGAATTCATGTTTAGCGCGAATATTTCTACACCAATAATTTCTTAATAATCATATTTTCGCGCTTCTATAGAACAATGTATATCAGCGTGTGATATGCTTTCACACTTTTTATTTAAATATTTACAGAGTAATTGTGTTTTGTTTTCCAAGTCATCATCATTTAAAATCGTTTATGTTTGTGTTGTTTTTTAATAGTTTGTTCAGAAAAACCAAAACATGATCTGATCACATGTCAAGACGTTTATGACGCAAACTGTGAAAAATTATGTACGTTAACGGGCATTCTTTTGTTTGCTATAATCTGTCCGCTAGACAATGTATTTTTTCTGTACAATAGCGTATTGTTTGACACCTGGTATTGAAAATAACTGTAAACTCCCACGATGATTACAGTAATTTTCCTTTTTTTAATCTGAGTGGTCTACGCGAATTTATGATTTTCGACAGTCACCTCCGCGAATTCAAAATAGCGCGAATATTTGTATAGACCCCCAAAGTAGACCTTTCCGCGAAAATTTGCTTCCGCGAATTTAAATACACATACAGTATACTATATACATGTACAAATGTATATAAATATAAATTGTCCATATGCAGGAAGTCTGATTCTTCTATGTGATGATGCTATCTAGCAAGCTTATGGAAAGTTGGTGGTTCTATTCAGGTGACTGCTTGTGTCTAAAATATTATATATATAATATTGCACATAAGGAGCGCCTGAAGTCTTCCTTGACAGCTTAGCTAGCTTAGTAAGACTGTCAGTGGTTCCACTTGGGTGCCTGTTCATGCCTTAAATAATGTACAAAAGGGCACCTGAGTCTGTGTGATGTTAAACCCAAAACAAACAAACAAAAATCTACAGTGTTAACCATGTTTGTTTATTATTTCAGCTGCTTGTGCAACAGAAGTTTTCAAAATAGCAACAAGGTAATTTAGTTGAATGTATGACCTACATAAGCATTATTGTCCAATCAGATCTATTAATGTATGTTATATTACATAATTTAGATCTTGCAAAAAAGGATTTAATCTGGAGATGTAAAGAATTCCATTTGTGAGATACTTTGATAAAAATAATTACAGTACTGATAAAGTGTATTAAACTATGCATTCAACATATTTAATTCTGCTGTTTTATGCAATCTTAGGGGTAACCATTTTCTATAGAATTAAAACATTTCAACTTTCCATATTGCTAAAATATTGAAGTGGTAGGGTGACTGAGTGACTTTCATGCCAGACTTGTGGTCTAAGGCTTGCTGGTCGTGTGGGTTCAAACCTTGTCAGGGGCAAGCTGTTGTTTCCATGAGCAAGAAACTTTACACTCATTGCTTAGTACTGGTTGGTCCCAGGAACAGATGCGGGAATGTTTCTATAAGCTTATAGCTTTAGTATAAAAACTATAAACTAAAATATCATTGTATTTCATTAGATGCTGTTAAATATGACAAGGTATCGACTATCTAAAAAAAAGCTTCAGGGCAATTAATTGTTTAAATTTTATTTGAGAAATATTAAAATTTATTTAATTTTACCCATGAAATATGTGCAATATCAGTCAAATATATTTCATGTTTTTTAAAAATAAATATGAAATATAAATATGAAAGTGGGTGGAGTCAAAACTCATATTTATTTTAAGGCTAGTGAAAATATGTGGCATTTTATCATATTTCATGAAAATATATTCCATATTTCACTCAAACAAAAAAATGTCCTCTTGATATTTACATTACACTGGCAGCCTGTTATAAGACTCAAGTTTGGGTCCAAGGTCATAAATAGTAATATTTTTGAGGTTCTGATATATAATGTTCAACTCAAGATCTGATTGTTGACACACCTACCTGTGGGTGAATAAACATCCTTTGAAACAAGAAGAGTTGTTTATAAATCAAGTGTATCTTATGTATAATATAAATTTTGCAGCTGCTGCATGCCATTAAACAATTACATGAATTTCAACGACACAGAAGGAATTTATACTTACACATTTGAAGCTGAAAGAAAGGTATGAATTATCCAAGATAAATAAGTTTCTGTCCAACTTTTTTATAACCTGCGCGCTACGACTTAGGAATGATAAAACTTTATCTTTTTAAAACTCATTAACACTATGAATCTTCATTGATGCTATGGGGACTTTTATTGTATGTTTTTGAATGGAATTTGTAATGAAATAACAGCACATGGTGAACTTAAAAAAAAATAAAGTCACTAAATCTAGCTGAAATTTTCAATGATTTTTGTTTAACCAGTGGAATATTAATTATTATTTTGCTCTTTTTTTTATGTCAATCACTGAAAAAGAGTTTTGTGTTAAATATTTACTTTAAAATGTACATTGTATTACAGTTTTGAATTTCTAAAGTTAAGGCTATGCTAAGTCTGTAATCATGTATATCATCACCTTAGTACAGTAACAGACCAACTCATATCAAATTTAATATGAGTTAACATGTTATTGCACTAAGGTGTCAAAATTTCTGATATATGTGCACTAGTTTCTTATTTTATGATTTATGAATGATGATGTATATTTTTAATTTTTTATACCAGGATGATTGTATGGCATGTAGTAAGATACCAAAATCACTTACCTTCTCAGAGTCTGACAAACTACAAGATATAATATCTTTCCTACAAGAGAGCGCAGAATAGTAAGCTATTTATGTACAGTCACTTGTAACCTCGCACTGCCCTCGTCACACTGCTGGGTAATAATGGGGACTTGGCCTCATAAAGGACCTACATTGTGAGGACATTCAAGTCCTCACTAATACAAGCTCCCTCACAATGCGAGATTTGATATTTCTACAATGTGAGATTTGATATTTCTCAGGCCATTTTAGTGCCAAAACAAAACTATTACATCCTCTCCTGCTTATTTCCCTTATTTCCAACCCTTTCTACAGGAGGTGTTGGCAGTAACTTGGCAGGGGTACAGTGGAATATTGCTAGCACCGATAACAGTTTTGCTGTGCCAGAAGTATATAGGCAATATAGTCTGGCCTTAGTGTCAGGGTTTTCATTATTGCCAGATTGGTAATCCATTTCATCGGTAGAAATGCTGTTTAAATCGGTTGTATTTTCAGCTTGTAGATTTAAATATCCCCCTTGACCCTTGGTCAAATCAGTGGTTGTGTGCCTCAGATAAAAGTGAAAACCCTGAGTGTTCTGGTAGCAGATTTACTGTAGTACATGTATTAAAACATTACAAGATGATGAATTTAATATTTCCTTATTAAACTCATGGCAATACATTTTGTAGGGTACTGAGGCATACACTTAAAAGTGAATAGATGGGTTTAAGTTTGTAAAATATTACACTTCTGTTCAAATTAAATAAATTAATGATCAATATTGCATATTCTAATATAGTGAAAAAGTCTTTTGACCTATAAACAAGTAACATGACTTGCTAAATTTTCAGTCAGATGAAATCCCCAGGATTGACAGCAAATGTGGGCGGGAAGAACAAAACATTATATATGCCAACAGTTAAATCTATTGAAGAAAAAACAAGGGAAAACTTAAAGAAAACTCTTGGAGGTGAGTTAAACATTTGGCTTGGCTCATAAAGTGGACTGAGAACATGTAATGACTGAGCCTTTGTAAAGATAGCATAGTGGGTTCAAATCCTGCTAGAGGCTGTCATATAGGAAATCAGGTGAATCTACTCCCGTGCCAGTATTAATGCACATATATATTTTACAAATTTTGTACATAGTGTAGTCTCTTCATTATTATAATCTTTGGTCTTAATTCCCATTCCTTGCTGATACAGTTTTTGAAAATGTTTATGAATTTAGTAGTTATTACAAATAATTTTTTCCTGCCCACATGTAATATTGTATTTTTCATTCAGTTTGTCTTCTTTGCTTAAAACAGCACGTCTCCAGATTCATGTTAATTTTCATGAAATTTAAAAGTAAAATTGAGAGGCGAACAAAGAAACTGAAAGTAATTCACACATTGCAGTCGGCACTTTCAATCCATGTAAATTACAAGAGGTAAAAAGTAGCCCATACTGCATTAGTTAAACAGTACAAATACAATGATCAATGCTGCAAAATCAGCCTTCTATCACACTTACTTGAATCTTTTTACCTTTCTTAAAATCTTAGTAAATTTTCCTCAAGTTTGATTTTCTTGAAATATTTTTGCTCATCTGGTGGCATGCAGCTTGAAATCCTGTATGTGATGAAATACAGAAACTCATAAAAATGCCCAAAATGGCAAAATTGAAACTGTTTAGATTAATAATTAACCATTGCAAGATAATGTTCTCAACAGCTTCAACTTTGTTAACATAGGAAAGAATACTATTTTATTTGTATCACATGTTTAACAGAGATAACTTAAGTTTTTATCAAGAAAATTGCTATTTAACTTGGATTTTGCTTTTGCTTAAGCTTATATGTTAAAAATATACCACCAGCAATACATTCACCATTTATTCTGATTTCAGATCTTGGTATAGTAAACGGACAGGAGCTTTACGTAGCTGATCCTACCACACCCATGACAGTAACGTTTAAACTTAGTCTCGGCTCAAATATGGAATAAATCTTAAAATTGTATTGCTGACCTGTTGCAAGTTGCAGTCACGTTATCTCTACAGTATAAATCATGAAAGTATCAAAATCTGATGAATGAGAAGAACCCTTGAATTCTACTTAATATGAACATGCTTGTAAAGGAATTGATAATCTGTTCAGTGAGATCACAGGGGTGTCGGTGGCCTGAGAGTTTATGGTCATTTACTTTATAACACTTGCCCCACACTGCTGTGGGTTTGAATCCTGCTTTGTGTTTCCGATTCATACATGTGAGGAAGGTTATAGCTAATGGAAGGGTTCTCACTAGGACTTTAAAACATGGAGTCCATGGACTCCCAACCCTTAAAAAGTTGGGAGTCCAAAAGCGCGTCGCAATTAATGTTTACAGATTAGTCATTCAATGTTCCCAATAGCATTGCTGATATTTTGAATCTTCATGGGACTCCAAAGTTTATAGTTATTCAAAAGAAACTCTGAAATACATAGTATAATTATTGTTTTGTTGTTAATATTGAATTAAAATATTGTTGAAATATTAATTATGAAATTATTTCATTATAATGCATCAACACAGGGAAATCGTTTGTTTTTTTTTTCACTTTTATACCAAATCAAATTTTATTCTGGTTAAATAAGTCCACTCTAAAGACAAAAAGTTTATATTTGTGAAAAAAAACGTAAATGTATACAGTACAGTATAGGCAGCGTTTAGCGGAATGAATAGGAAAATCGTGTACAGCTTCACACAGTGTGTAAGAGATTCATCCGATCGACAATTATTTTAGCAAATATCTTCAAAAGGGGGCAAATTGGAGATCGATATTTAAAGATTTAATGTTGATTAAATAATAAAGAAACAATTCAGTCGCATGTTTGGCTTGGAAACCGAGAATTTTTGCGAAATTTTAGGGTTTCTGGCGAACGTGAAATCGCCGATGTTCGGGATAGAATCTAAATATCAAAGAAAAGCGTATGTGTATTTTGGTTTGTTGTCCTGGCATTTCGGCACAATATATTAAATTCTTAATACTCTTATATAAAGTTTTTGCAGGAATGAAACTAAAGCAAAATTGTGCCCAGAAAATGCCGAAAATATTCGACAATCATTCAAAAAATTACACTCATTTGTAATTTGAGAAAACAATCTTTACAGTAAACTTGCGGCGTAAATAGTCGATAATTTTATCCTTTTGTCGGTAAAATTTGCTAATTTCCAATCAACTGTTGATCAAAGATATAAAATTATCACGCGTGTTATATCTGGTAATTACATGTACTGTACAGCGCGTGTATACATTAGTCTGATCACTATTAATAGCGTGATAATGATCGGAAGCGTTATCGCTGATTGGCTAATCGCTTCACGGGTCGATGTGCATAGGACCGCCTACCTATAGACTGACACGCGCTGACGCATTTTGTGTATTTGTGGTTGTAGACAATCGGTAATGTTTATGCGTCCCCAGGCAAAATTAAGCGTACGTGGAATCCTTGCTCTGAAATATTTGCGTCCATCTGTAATAAACATGCGTACCGGGACGCCGAAATAAGCGTCCCCGAGAACCCTGAATTTTTTATTATGTCAGTGGTTCTTCCTGGACCAGTAAAGCTGGAAAGTCACCATATGACCTTACCTCAGATAGTGTTGGTGTGATTTAAAAAACAACCAAAATAAATATTAAGAATAGTTTCTCATTTACTAATACTGTTATTTAATCCTGTCATGCTAAATTTGTACAATGCATTAACAGACTTGTCAGGTGTAAATTTTTTATTGTTCGTTTATTTAAAAGAAATCGATGTTGAAGAAAGCTGAATTTAAGTAGCTCATAGTAATGAGTATAGATACAGACTAGCTTGACACTGTATTTGGTGGCTTAGGCAAATTATATTGCCATTAGCATTTAATAAGAGTAAAACGTTAGCCCTTACCACACTAAAAACATGTATTTTAGATTTATGGGCGTGACTGTCCATCAGTTAAGACAAATTTTTGAAAATTTCAATACATGCACTTTCTGAACTGTGCAGACCATGAACTAACAGCACCATTGTGTTAACTGATCTTTGTCTGCACTGGTTGCAGTTATTCTCAGTTGCTGCCAGCAGGCTAAGAGTTAATTCATTTTCACATATCACTTGTATTGTAATATACTTGAGGTACACCTGCTGCTTCAGATTTTTCCTATCACTCACGTCTTTTTCATGTTTATAAGGTTGCAAGTAGATTTTGTTTCCAAACAGACAGCTTGAAAGCAATAAATGAGTTTTCTTAGAAACAAACATGCACCTATTTACTGTACAAGAAATTTACGAAAAAGCATGGCAGAATATGTTTCATTTTCTCATGAGTAAACATGCTAGTATGAAACACAAGTTTAAAGCCAAGTTTTTGCTGTGAAAATTAAATTTATTAAACAGCAGTGAAAATTAAATTTATTAAACAGCATCGATCTACAAAGGCAAAAAATTTTCTAACGTAATATTAAGATTGCCTGCATACGGGTATATATTTTGCATCTTACTTGCAATTCACTGTCACTTTTTTGTTAGTACAAATAGAACACTTTAAAAGTATATTAGTCCAAGATTTAAATATTTTTACCAACATGAAACAATACTTTATTTAGAAAATTGTTGTTTGCAATATGAATTGGTATTTTGATTGCGTTGTCTGAACAGTTAGGCGTTTGTACTGTATATGTGATATTGTAAGAGCTTTGTTGAATAAATATTTTGATAGCAAAATGTTGTCTTGGTACATATATATAGTATTGGCCTCCTTATTTTATCTACGAGCCTGGAATACAGCATTGAAGGTGAATAATAGCTTCAAATTCTAAATTATCTACCTACTTTTTTTCTGAAATATCTAGGGCTAGAGGGTAACTGTTTAAGACTAATGGTTGGAATTCAATACAACTTAATACAATGGTCAAGCACATTGAGAGGAAGTGCAGTGCACAAGAACCATAACTCCATCTTGATTAATTACAGAGTTATTGCCCTTTGTTACTTTTCCTTGTCCGGAGCATAACTTAAAAACTACTAGTTGGAATTCAAAACAACTTCATACAATGGTTTAGCACAATAAGAGGAAGTGCAGTGCACAATAACTCTGTCCAGAGTAATTATAGAGTTATTGCCCTTTGTTACTTTTTTCTCCATTGCATAACTTGAAAACTAGTAGTTGGAATTCAATACAACTTCATACAATGGTCAAGCGCAATGAGAGGAAGTGCAGTGTACAAAAACCTTAACTCCATCTTCAGTATTTGCGTAGATTACTCCCTTTGATTTACTTAATCCTTGTACGTGTACTAACTTAAAAATCTAAAGTTAGATTCGAATGCACTTCATGTTAATGGTCAAGCGCAAACGTGAGAAAGTTGCATGCTAAGAAGCTGTAACTCTTTCTAACTTATAGCGGAAGATCTAATTCAATAAGACTCATCATGAGCTAACAACACATTGAAAGGAATCGTCACATGCAGAGAACCACAACTCATTTTCAGATGCACACATACCATAACTCTCGTATCATTCACCTTCTTTGGTATGCAAGTTATCTTTGAGTCCGATATGAGATGTTTATTTTTCCGCCATAACCATTAATCATACATTATTATTATCTAGACAGTTGCTTAATGATGTGAATCTGTGTGTTCAAGACCGCTAAATATAGATGAGTAGATTAGTAACCACGAACTTTTTTTATGGCCAGATGTACTAGCAACAATTGTCATTATCAATGCTTTTAAAATGAGAAATGGTCCATAATTCATCTTTAAAACGAGTTTGCATGCTAAAGAGGTGATTTTTCTAGCAGAATGAAATGCCTGACGCATAAAAATAATCTTATATAGGGGTAGCCAACCAATTGTTTTGCAAAATGACTTCAAAGAGCGTAACCCCCTTTTCATCGAAATTTTCTGCTGTTCACTGGACTGACATACGCTGTTTTTTTAAATAAGAGTATCCAAGAAGTCACAAATTATGCTACAGATTTAAGAAATATTTCATGTTCTTTAAATGTACTGTTAGTTTCTCAATTAGTTTTATTACTTAAAAACATCCAATTTCCATGTTACTGACCACGTGACATGTGAAACAACGCCCACTTAAACCTTTTATGACAAGTTGCATTAAGATTATACATGTATACAAAATATACATATGTATTGCAGACTGGATTAAAAGAACACCCATTAAGAAGTAATATTTATATTAGACTTCACACGGTGAATATAATGGAAGGATTAGCATTCTTTAAAATGTATATTTACGTAGTTTGGGCTTATTTTGATAATCCGGATTTTGGTACATGGTTATGTCATTAAACAGTAGATATTTTTAGGTCAGACTATTGTATTTTCATTTCCATATACCGAGCATAGTAAGGACTTATTGCTTTGTTGCATAGAAATATTCCATTATCAATCGCCACCACCACCTCATTCCATTGTTCCCCAAACCTATGCCGTGTATGAATTTTTGAAAACAATGTACGTCTTTTTTTCTGTGTTCCTATATCGCCGACCAGCTTACAATGTGACCCGGTATTAATGCAACAACTAAATTAATCCCGACACCCGCGGAAGTGAACTGTAGGACAAACGGAGATGATGGGGTATGTTAACATACGTTTAGTTTCGCAACTTGCCAGAATTCAATGTGTTAGTGGTTTTGTATTGCGCGGCATCAAGAATAGATGGGTATGGCGGCATTTAAGTAATACTAACATCAATATAGTGAATCACATCTGGAACAACATTAATTATAATCTATCGTTTCAACCATGGTTTTAAAACCTCTTTTGATTAAAGATGGTTTTACCGTCGAACGTTTGATGTTGGAGGTTGGAAATTTTGTGGGAATTACCAAACGTGCATATTATAAAACAATTATATTTGCAATAAGAGCATGCTAGTTTGCTGAAAATAGACGGTTAACGTATATTCAATTGTAGATATATTACAATTTAACATATCGTTATAATAATAACACGTTACCTGGCTTGGTATTTGGAAGATTATTCCATAAAGAAATTACATACCGGGTATTTATGCTATATAACCGACAGAAAAAAAACAGCCATGTATACACAAGAAAAAGAATGACAAAAAAAAAATTACATCATAATGTTAATATTGTTGATCTATTTAACAATGCAGTTTTTCTTCTTCTTTTTTTTTCTTTTTTTCATAATTAATGGAACTGCACATTTCCAAAAGCAAAGCGCTACTTTACAAAATGATGCGCCGATGGGTTCAAAGCTGCAAAAAGAAAAGTAATGTGACGACGTAAACAA